CAAAATTAAAGTTTACATAATCTGATACGAGACATATTTCTTTCGGCAAGACGTTAGATCATAACAAACAGTACATTTCAGGTTTGTGGCAAGCATTGCGAGAGATCTTTACTGGCGCCAGTCTCAAAGGATGCGGTTTTCACTGGGCACAGGCAATGCAACGACGAGTACAGGGCTGGGTTTGATGACCACATATCGACACACAGAGGGTAAACATCAGATTATTAGGAAACTACTGGTTGTACCGTTTCTACCTGGAAGTGATATACCAAAAGCATTCAAGAAGCTGTTCGACAAAATTGATGGTAGCTCTCGACCTATTCGAGTACGTAAATGATCAATGGCTGGAGAACAGTTTGTGGTCTGCAGAAGAATTGTCTGTCTACCGACAGACTATTCGTACCAACAACGATACATAGGGTATGCCCTATTTCTGTTATCTTTTTTGATATAAAAAACGAGTTATTAAGTAAAATAATATTTAATTTTATACAGATAATGTCGTCAATAATTCTTAATAAAACCTAATGATTGTATTGTGACGCAAAAATGAAATATAAAGACATTGGAGAATTTATTTTGCTCATTTTTATGTAAACTATTTTTGTTTCGTTTGCTTATATTGAATATACGTTGTTATTTTTCTAGGATGGCATAGACGTCTTAATAGCCAGGCTGAACGGGGCGTGATTCCCTTCTATGTTCTTCTTACGTTACTATTGCAAAAGGCAAAGCTAGTGAACATACATCTTCAATTGGTCACGGAAGCTGGCGTCGGTCGCTATCGAAGGGAAGTTAACAGAAACATGGACGCAAAAGTGGTGGACCTATGGGACATGTATGACGCTCATGATGTTGTTTGTGAGGAGTTCCTTCTAGAAATAGGGTCGATCTACGGAAACTTTTAGACAAGGAAATGTGTAACTGGAAAAAGATTATAGACGCTGTAGAGCAATAAGACGTACAAAAATACAGTTTCAAAAAGTGTATATATTGTAAATATTGTAGTTATTACATACATGTATATAAAGAGAGTGATAGTGTCTGCGTATTCTATGTATTGGTATTTCAATGTCATGTGTGTACATGTATATTTATTTGTGTTATAATATACATAAATGATTAATAAACGGCTGAAAATGTTCTAACCTAGTCATTACTTTGTGTTTTATTTTTTAAAAAAGCACGGTCTTTCCTAATATAACAATACATTAATTAACGGGTTGAAATGCCCGGTATATTTAAGTTGTCTAAGTGTCTTAGGGGTCTAAGTGTCAGGGGTCGAGATGTCTTTGGGGTCGAGGTGTCAAGGGGTCGAGGTGTCAAGGGGTCTAGATGTCATAGACACATTTAAACAACATTTAAATCAATCACACTAATGCATTTAAAACAATTATTTAGGCTGCCACTCAATTATTAATAATGAAATATCATTCGTATAGTACAATCTAAATATGCATTAGTTCATAGATCAAACGTCAGAGCAATGTTACATAATTATCTGAAGTGTAATAATTTGTTATTCCAGTAGATGCATACTATTTTGAAATAGCTGCTAACTAGGCACACAAGTATGTAAAGGTCGTCGGAAACGAACAAGGAACTTACAGTACCTACATTAAACATCAAATTTTGTTAGCCGTATGAACATTGGTTTGCGTTTTGTAAATTTAGATGTGGTGTAGCACAACTGAGAATAGAAACAGAAGGGTAATTATGAATATATCGCTTAAGAAAATAGAAAGTGTCCGTCCTGTGATACAATAGAAACTGAGTTATATGTGTTGCTCATAGTTAAATGTATGCGGATATAAGGAATGCATAATTAAGTAGAGTTATTGTGACTGAATTAATTATTGAAAGTTTTTAATAACAATGCATAATTGAAAGCTTTGCGTATAAGTAAGCCATTGGTTAACTTAGAAAATGTGCCAAAACCTGCTTCGAAATTTTATGTTTAAGAACTGTATATTTATGTAAGTAACTAATACGGAAGAGTACACTGATCCTTATATATTTTATTTGCCTTAAAGTAAAAAGCCTTTGTATAATAATTAAAATACAATTCTCAGGTTATGTGATATATAAAGTAGATCTTAAAGAGTTTTATCTATTATTATACACCCTAAAATCACAAACATGCATAGTTTTTTCGATGGAAATTTAAGAGAATAAAATGTTCTTCTTAACATACAATAAATGTGCACTTTAGCCTTTGTCATATGAACCTCATGAAAAAAGATGTATGAAATTATGAATTGAATTAGATTTACTTTGTATAATAATTCGCTTATATCATAATAATTTTTAATGGCCCTTTTATCGTTTTGATCTGAAAAATATGTATTACTAAATGAAAATGACAGATATGCTAAAACAGAAAATCATAAATCATTGAGTATCCATTTTATTGCTGTATTTCGTCAATAAACAATGTTTGATAACACTTTAAAAATAATGCATTCAATTATAGTAAATTGAATTGCTAGAAGTTTTAAAACCAGTAATGAAATAATAAATACATAAGCGCTCTGATATAAGATATGCTTATGAAGAATAGGAATTTTCACTGCTTTAACATACGGACAAACTCTTCAATTTTCTATACTGACCCCATCCCCTTATATAATTTATAAGTCTGTTTAAAGTAAGACGATACATGATTACAATATAGTAAATTAACAAGTCTTTAAATAGTTTGAGTGAAAGATAATAGCTGTGAGTCATTCACCGTCACGTTAAAATGTATATGTTGCAAACGGCACCAAGTGGTTTAGTGTACATTGTATAAATTTTCAGTACTAACACGGACCCCTCCACCCTTTGGAACAATAGCATTCAGTGAAGTCATGTTTAACAGCACATCAAATATTGTATACTGTTCCTTTTCTGTCTTGATGGTATGTAGATATATATTCCAATGTAATTTTTCAGGGATCCTCAACAAATGTTGAAGTCTGTAACAAAGAGTTGTGATCGGTTGGGTCAAAAGCTGCTTATAGGTCTCACATTACTTAGATTATTACATTGTCAACGTAAATTAATTTGTGAGCACCATTTTTGGACTCTGCTTAGTTCAATTTCTTTTGAATGGAATTTACGAAAGGCTGACTGATGATTTCTTTTTAATTGTCCATCAATGCAATTAACTCACTTCTTTTTCTAGTGGTTTTGATACAAATGGTAGACTTGAGACAGGGTCTATAGTTGCTGTTTAAAAAAATGATTTGATTCAGCAGTGTCTCTTTTCAACAGGACTATAACAAGACATCTTTTTAATGTTAATGTTCAAAAGAAATGGTGAAATTTTTCTGAGGCTCTACTTTCATAGCCATGTTTGTATCGGATCCCGGACACATGATTCATTGGAAGATTTATTGACTACTTTCTTAACTTTTAAATTAAATTTGAATATATTTCATCTCTGATTATTTCTGTTGTCTAAATAAAAGTCATTTAACACTTGTGGCAATTTATCAGTATTTGTGCTTGTAGGTGGCGATGTCTCAGATTGACCGTTCACTTCACTTTTTGTAATTTGAAACAATTGTTATTGTTATTTTTTTCGTTTGACTTCAAAATATTACCTTATCAAAACCATGGTTCCCTTTAGCATATTACTTTTGCACATTTATTAAAGTATAATTAGTTAAGATGACTGCCACTATTAGCAGACGTTTTGTGAGAAGTACCTCCAGAGAATAGAATACTAAGCAAACACGGGTGAAACACAATGGATAATGTGTTCTGGACCAATGCATTTATGATAAATTGATTGTATCTTTTAACGGAATGTATCTCAGTTGAATTCAGCTTTCTCTATGTCGGTTATGTCTACGTCACATTACAAGCGGGGACCGGCCGATATAGAGGGATAGATTGGACACCGTTGATAATTTAAGATCGGAGAGAAACATTTCAATCATATCCGAGAAGAAGTGGGCGGCTATTCTCCCTCTGTAGTCAGCTGGGTATTCGGACGGTTTCCGAAGGGTACTCGCCCGGTCACCCGGTGAAAACCCTTGGCGTCTTCTTTCTGGACACCGGTCGATATTCTAAAGGTACCCGGCAGACTACCGTACGATAAATGTCCCATTACCTTCCGTTATCTGGCCTGTTTGCAACAATCGTACGGTGACGCTAAAGTATACGTGCGATATCTGGTCGGCTGTCGGACGGTATTCGTATGGCATGCTATCCCATTTTCCGGCCGTTATTCACACCCCCTCTTTTGTTGGCATTTTTCCCTGCCTTCTTCTCCTCTGATTTCTCCCCCACCCCTCTTTTGCTTTCTGTTTTGGAAGGTATATTACACTCTGAAATCAAAGTTTTCCATAAAAGATTGTAAATGAAACTTGAAAACTTTTATTAACCTCCATGGACGTGTGTGAAAACTGAGAGAATATGTGTGTGTGTGTAATAGAGTTTCTAAATACCCGCCATCGGTTGCCCGTATAGGCGAGTCCTCAAGAAGAGTATTAGTCGTTCTAGATGTTGGAGGACAGCGCAAGATACAGATGGCAAGATGGTTTTACCTGCCGTAAGGTCTGTTTAATCATGAGTTGAGGCATTAATTATTGACATTTAAATCACAGCGGCGCCACTTTAACCTCTACCAACACGGTGCGAGTTATGTTTGGATTGATAGCCTTCTTGCAAATGTTCATTCAAACACACTTTGTCAAATTCCAAGCTATAATATGGTGATAGCAACCAAATCGAAATCGTTTGAATGTATTAAATCACATATGGTAACATAAACATTGTAATTGTTGTAGTTTGGGCTGTGGAGTTGTCTCCCTCTAACAGCCTTTCTAATTTGCTTGTTCTTTTGGTACAATGTGTACATTAAATGTGTACAATACCTATCTTTATACACTGTCAAATGTCATTCCGTGCACCTATTGCAAGTATTGAAAGTATCAAGACGGTGATGGGGTTTTCACAGCAATGTAAACACACATTTACTTGGATTGAAGTATTCAAATGAAGACAACAAATGAAAGCCATAACTCTTTTATTGTTTCATTTTCACACATGTTTTTAGAAACAAAATTTGTGCATTTATCGTAGTTGTACTTGATTAAGTTAGTGTTCATTTTGATACATCTTACTGGTGTTTGTCTTTGTTATTTTGCATTTTATTGCGTGATCCGTTTTGTATTTCTTTTGTGCATGTTAAATATATTGAGTGGTATTAACATAAGAAGTAACATCTATGTAATATGTAAAAATTTATATAAACATATTTCGCATTATAAAAATATATACTCTTATATCAAAAGTCAAATAAAAAGTGAAAATAAAACAACAAAATAAATCTTTTTAAAACAAATTGAAAGAAAAATAAAGCAAAAGAGTGGATATTAGATACTTAAACGTTGCTACTGTAGTTGTATGTAAAATCAACAAAAGTTGTATCCGATTGGTTGTTTTAAAAAATAGTGATAATATAACTTTACACTAAAAGGACATGTCAAACACTTAGAGATGTAGAGCATGGACCGGAGGCCTTCCTTAAAATTGAGCTAGTCCGTAAAAAAATAATTAAGGCTTGATAAACATAAGCGCTGTATTTATCAAAAATTATACTTTAAGATCGGATTCAGGTTATACCACTGATGTTACATGTATCCATTTTGTTCTAAAATACTCAAGTAAAAATATTTTCTGAAGGACGCCCGACATGGCAAAATTGAAAATGCCTGCAAGCCCGTAGTGACCCAAAAGCTAACTTATAAGTATCTAAAATCCCTACATATTTTTATCGTCGTGATATAGCGGAAAAACGAAAACTCAATAAACAAATTTATCTTTCATTTTTTATCATTGTTTGGATGTCGTTTAGGAATCAATTGCTTATATATCTATATTGTACTTTTATTATCGAATTTCCAATGTGTTTGTTTTAGAGTAAAGAAAAATTATTGTATATGTATTTTAGGTGTAACATTTGAATGTTACAAAAACATCGTAAAACTCGGTAGATTTTTTTAAACAGGCAAATAAAATTTATTCGATTCATGAGCATGTTTTTCGCTGTAACACATTAGCGTTCTTTCGTAAGTCTGGTAAATGATTTACTATCATAATCAAACTTAATTTCGTAAAATGATACAAAACATAGTGTTTAGATATGTATATATGTAATCAAATTAACGTAAACGTTGAAGCCAGTCCATTGGGTAAAAACAACAAAAGTGTAAAAATTATTTTTAAAAACAATGATAAAAAATATAAAACAACAACAACAACAACAACAACAACAGAATTTAGATTAGAAAACGCGGCACACCTTCATATTTATGCCATATCTTTTAAGACATATTGAAAAAGGTTCTACTTCAGAGACCATTATACCATGAGTACAAGTAAAAATGATAATTCATCTAACTTTCATAAGATAGCCAAAGGTACACTTTATAAGAACATTACATATAATATGTAAATCATTTTCTAATTTTTTTTTCAATTTTCGTTTTTTGTCAATTATCTGATGGTGTGCAGCTGTAACCCGTACTGCAACGAACCTCTCCACCTTTCAACCTGGACAAATGCATTTGCCATTTAAGGATATTTTATGGTAGTACAGACTAAATTGCATACATTGCAGGCCATGAGCAGACAATCAGCCTACACAGACGTGTCGTCTGCTTATGGTTCTACATTGGTCTCATACATCACTTGAAGATTATGGGTTAAGTTCTATTTAAGACAATATTAAAAAAACACACACACAAACAAACATAAGAAAATAATATGTTGGTAAAATGATAGAATAGCTTTATCTAACAAACAGTGTATAGTGAGGGTGCGTTTGCGGTTCAGAGATGTCAAATTAATTTCAAAATTATTATTTTCGTCGGAAGATTTTATTCAAAAAATAAGCAGTAATAATGTTAACACTGCTCTTGGTTGTTACAAATATAGTGAATGTCTAAAAGGATACTTAAACTGCAATTTACTTAAATTTCTGCTTAATTGATTACATAAATGTCACTATTTGCAAAACTACGATTGGACATTTCATTTATTATTAAAATCGAGTTCACAAAGTTCAACTTTTGTTACCAAAGAATGATATTATCTGATTTTAATGTTCTTTCTTAATCAGAATGTGTTGCACAATTTGTTGACGTAAATTAATATGCAGAATTCGGGGTATTTGCGAAATCAAACCTTTTCAAAGATTTCGTTTTAATAAAAAAGATGTAACAATCACCAATAAAATTCAGCTAAATATGAAACATCACAGATATTTTTTTCAAGTAACAGATACACTAATCAAATAATTATGCTAACAAATTAAAATAAAAAGGTAAACAAATGATATAAATGTATATTATCAATAATAAAATGGAAGACAGAGAAAACATAACTTGGTGATCTATAGAATTAAAATTTCACAGCAAACAGACCTACAAATAAAAACTTAACTATATTAAATTATATTTTTCAAGATAGGAAGAAAAAAAAGAAATAATTCATTATTACATATTATAAATGACCGTCTCCGATTAAGTATTTTATTCATTACTGATGTTTCATTCAAGAAAAAAGAAAAGGAGTAAGTTTAAAAAATATAAAAATATATATACAGGGTATTTACACATAATGACACAATATATCTCAGAAAAAAAGTTTTTTTCTTATCATAGAAAGGGAAGACGCGAGTTTTATAATGATTAGACTGTGGTTTTAGAGCATGTTACATGTATATGCTTATCACTTTAAGAAATAAGTGTTTAACATAAAATCATTTGTCATAAAAGTAACAGAATATAAACAAAGTAGTATGTTGACTTCCATACACAATACTAAGTCAATATAAATTTACTGATTGATAAAAAAACATCAGAAGCAAAATATAATTTAGGTAATTGACCAATTAGCAAGTTTGTTTTGGGGAAACTATAATGGACATCAAAAATTAAGGCTTTTGTTAAATAAATAAAAATAAACGACTTTCTGAGGCAAAATAGGCCTTTAATGAAAATCTGATATAAAAAGATTTTAAAAAGTTCAATATTGATTTCAAATTGAATCATCGAAGTCTTTTTTTTTAATTTACAATGTATCAGTAGTATATAGTTACGTATTCATGAAACCATTTACAAATCTATCAATCATGAATTGAAAACTGGAATAAACTATACATGAGCAAAGAAATATCAACAACAAATATAAAGAAGTGTAGACGTTTGAGTTGAGATGCTATTAAAGAAAAGTTAATTTTTCTTCCTTGTTCTTTGTCCATAAAAATAGATCCTCTAAAGATTTTAGCGTCAAATAAATGTGCATTACTGTTTAAAAATCTAAATGGAAAGAATTTTGTAGCATTATGTTCATCAATTTAAGAAATTAAACAATTAACAAAAGTGTTCAAAAGTTTCTCAATTTCAAACTATTTTATCACAGTAACTTAATAAATATAAATATTTCAAAAATGTTTATGCATAGTTTTCATTTTCAACCTTCTATGTTTGGCATATTAGGGGTGTGCGGCCTTTCCGATTGCCCATTTGAAGCCATTGCAGGAGTCAGTGTCCCTAGCGAAGCAACTGTTCCGCGGTCCGTATACAAATTTTCAGGTGCCGCCTGGCTGGGCGCACTCGGCACGGGAAGATTTGCAGTCATGTAAAGCGGTGGTGGTTGTACGGGTTTTGGATGGTTACTTCCTTCATCCATATCTGGGTCAAAGTCGATACCCTCCATTTTCAACATTTCTTTCTTTGATGGTTCAACACGAAGAGAGAATTTATCCCTTGGCACGTGATCAAAGAGTCCTATACTTCTAAACCTGCAACAAAAGTCCATATTACTCTCTGTAATATGCTGTAAGATACGATATACGCAACCAATGCTTTGTTGATTATGTTCATAAGAACCTGATCTAGAGGAAATAGTATTACACTAATGGAATCTAGATACGTTAGTTTTACGTCTCTCACAAAATTATTATAAAAATACCCGAGATTATACAAGCCATGATAAAAAAAAATCTATATACTTGAAGCAGAAAAAAATCGGGAAAATTTTTATCGAGAAAACGAAAAATCGTGACTTCACTTTAAAAGTAATTTCTGAGGAGCCTTCAGCTTGCTCAACATAAAATGATGTGTCTAGCTTCTCTTTTCTTAAACCATCAATTATCAATATTTGAGCTGCTGGCATGGCTCTGCTTGTAAAGACAAATCACTACTGGTTATAACAGGGTAGAGCTTAATTTTCATTGTAGTATATTTATACACAGGAGGATTAAAAAGTCAATTCTACTGTGTTAAAAAACATATAACTAAATCCAATCTGAACAGTGTTTGCATGTTGAAGGCAAAACTTCTGAAGTTACATGACCGTGTCAGATGCCATAGATTGACTAACTGGTTATATGTGTATATCTAAAACTCATACTTACTTGGAGAGCTTATACTTCTTCCACAGGAAGTAGCCTCCGACAGCGCCACCTGCTAAAACAAATACGACTACAAGAACAATAATGGCGATAATGTAACCTTCTGTTTTTTCGCTGCCATCGTCATCACTCTCGTTACATGATTCTGAAAAAGAATAATTAGATATATATAATTTTAAAATTGATGTTTAAAAACATTACACTATCATTTTCATTTCTTATAGCTTCATTTAATAGTGTCTTAAAAAAATTATCTACAACAAAAGCGTTTATATAGACATATACTTAACACGTAATCCATTAAGGTGAAAAAATATTCTCCAAACTTTTTATTCTGACAATTTGGAAAAAATTTCCTGTCATAAGAGAACAACCACTAGATCTTCACCTTTTAAGATAAAAATATTATAATATGACACCCCTATTTAGATTTTGAACAACATTCTCGAATAGTTTTCTATACATTTATGTTTCTTTCTACTTGTTAGTTTGGAATACAAGCACAAATGGCCACGTCAGACATTTATAAAAGAAAGTTACATTGAAGACGTCAGAAAAAGTTATCATAATGATGCTTTAGATAGAGTGAAAACACTTTCATTCAATTTATTTGAACCCTATATTACATGATAACAGAAGTATGACATGATAGTTGACACATCTGAGGGTGATTTGTTTTTGGTAATATGCTCATGAATATTTTACCTATGTTAGATCATGTCAATTAGAAATGATAAAAAAATAAGTCTAGTCAATCTACTTTTACTTTTCGGATAACTTTTTTTCATTATTAATTATATCTATTTAAGACACCAAAATACTTTTGAATAACAAATGCATAATTAGGCATTACAGTAACTGATTTTTCAGTTTAGTAAAATAAAGATATTAAAATTTACTTCATTTAACTGGCATAAGTCCAGTAAAAAAATTTTGTATACCATTTGATTATTTTTTTTACAGTTATTTTATAGGAATTCCGCAGTACATTGATTATATTAACAATAATTAAGGATTTCTTTGTCTGAATAAGTTGTAATATGATATATGTACATTTTACGACGAAATTAACTACAATTACCAGATAATTAAAAAATCAAGGTCAAGACAGATTGATCTAAAATACAATCGTCAACCACGATGTTTTAAGCTTTGGATGTTTCTATATCCAAATTCCTAATTTGATATTCGTCATCTTGATATTTGATATCAAAGCAACAAGTGTCATATAATTATGTAAATGACTCCTAAATATCAGCGTATTATCTTAATGTCACATAAATGTTACGTTAAATATTAAATAGATATCATGTTTTGATGCAATTGTCACAATGATATCATGTTATTATGACAATATAACACAGATATCACTTTTTTGTGAATGTCACAAAAATATCCCGTTATAATGTCAACATTACAAAAATAGTTCGTTATAGTGTCCATATCGCAAAAATATATCGTTATTATGCCAATGTAACATGTTACAATGTATCACGTCAGAATTTCAAATATATATCGTAATATTGTCAATGTCACAATGGAATCACATTCTTATTTCAAAACTTCAAATACTGTATATCTCGTTATATATTGCCATATCTAGTTATATTGTCAATATCACAAAGATATCACATTATCACGTCAATGTCACAATGGTAGCACCTTAATATGTCATTGTCACAATGATATCAGGTTATTAAATGTCAATGTTGCAATACCATAGCATCAAGATATAATTAATATCACAATATTTCATGTTATTATGTCATTATCACAACGATATCACGTTATTATTTCAATGTCTAAAATATATCACATTGTTATGTCAATGTCAAATGGGCAGGAATGATCACAATTCAATTTTCGGAAACAAATCTCTACTAATAGACCGTATATGATAATTGAAACATTTCAAAATTAATTCACAAACCGGTTTCATTGTCACGTGTCCATTCATCTGTTTCCACGCCAACGTGACAGAGCTTGCACGAGTCATCCGACTTTTCCGTTCCATTTGTATAACATACGTCGTCGATCAGGCAGTAACCAGTTTCCAACGTCCAATCATAGACATTTGAAGAGACATCGCAATAAGAACAAGTTTCTCCTGTTTTGTTCACACCATTCAAATAACAGACACCATCGATTAGACAATAGTTTGGCTGAAAAGAAAGATAAGCACAGAGTCAATCGTTCAGTAATTTTAATATAACGCTTTAATAACTCAACTTTGTCAAACTTTCTTAAAATGCCACAGAATCTTAACTATAACTTGGATAAACTGACATTAAATAATCAAATAATAACACTTGACAAACAATATTTTGAGCCGCGCCATGACAAAACCAACAAATGCGTTTGCGAAAAGCATGGATCCAGACCAGCTTGCGTATCCGCACAGTCTGATCAGGATCCACGCTGTTCCCTGTCAGTTTCTCTACTTATAATAGGGTTTGTAAGCGAACATCATGGATCCTGATCAGACTCGCAAACGCATTGTGTTGTTTTTGTCATGGCACGGTTCAAATTACAATCTTATCAACAAAGCTTAATTTGAATAAATATAAAATTTATCAAAGAGAGAAGGAAGAAAAAATATTCTAATAAGCATTCCATATTGTATACTAACCATCATGTTCATCGACATTAAGTTAATTTACATCAATATTTATTGAAACAAAATAAAGTATCAATATGATTGTTTGCTAACCTAATATATTGTAAGGAAACAATCATGCATTTTAGAATTATACTACTACAGCTAGATTTACCGATAAAAATTCAGTCAAAACTGTATGCAATGAAATATCAAAATACTGGATAAAAAAGATAAACCACTATAATTTAGTGTTATAAGCTACAAACCCAATTTCGAAGAATGTTTAATTTAACAATATATGTAGTCAGTAGACGTGTTTTTTTTAAAAGGTATCTTAACATATTAAGGTTATATATTATGTGATCTCACAACCAGATATTTTATCAACAAAATCACAATGAACTGCTAAACATTCTTGAGACTCTTTCTTTTGGGACATTTCTATCATCATCATTATTATTTTCGCGTGATTCTTATTTCACTTACTTCCGTGAGATATTTCTAACAACTCTGTCAAAAGATGATACTCTGTTCAGATATATTTATGAAAGAAACTACTTACAGTCAGGGTTACTTGATTTGTTGTCGAATTAAATGACAGACACGTATTGTCTAAGACAGCAACATCTAGCGAACTTCCATACGTACTTCCGTCATTACTGGCAGATACTTGATAAGTTGTGACAGCGCTACTACTTCCGCTTCCGGTTGAGCGTCGTCTGCGGCTAGATGTCGGAATTGGGCATTCTGCTTCATAGTAAGATATTCTGATGAGATCGAAATATAGCGTCTCCTCTGATATTTCGTTACCAGGCAATGTTATCTGGGTGAAATTTAAAAAAAAACACGTTATGCAAAACTTGTATTATTTCGAACACATAAGACATATAAAATTATCAAAATCAAGTTAGAATAATATGCATTGGTGGTCAAACAGATAAACTTTTACAAGGTTTAATATAATGAGAAATTAATGAATTTTCATGGATAGTTAGGAGGAGGAAGAAGAAGACGAAGAACATTTATTTATCACTCAAACTACAAGTTTCTCATGATTAACATACATGTATATACACAAACTTACAATAGCATACTGTAGTACACAGTACAATGACATCCAAGATAACACGTGAAATAATGCACGAAGGGGCACCCCAGGTCTTACTCCACCAGTAAAGCAGGGACGTCGCCATATGACCTACACTGTGTCGGTGTGACATAAAACAAAATCAATCAAACAAACAAACAAGCATATATTCGAAGTCTATAGTTTTTATAAAATCCTTACCGTTATTGCAATTACTTTGCATTTGCCTGAACCTGAAAATCCAGCTAATGCCGACAGAGTGATTTTGGATGGTTTAGCATCAGGCGTGAACTCAGTTTCGACCTCCACAGAAAATATCAAATCAGGGATAGGTGGACTGACTTCATTAAAGCTGCAATCGTCGTCACTATACCCGGAGTTACACTGGCAACCTATTAAAACAAATACGGGGAGAAGGTTTCAATTTTCAAGTTTTGACCTTTTCTTTCAATATGGAAAAAGTTATATTCGAAGTTTAAGAAAATTTCGATATTAAAGTAAAACAAGTGAGCTGTCAGTCGTACAGGACCTGCACAACCATGTAGGGCGGCATGGGCAAAAGGCTACTCAAAAGGCTGATGAAGGGTAAGTAAGACTGTATCACGCTTGTGCATATATAACCGCTTATATTACAAGTAATAAAGATTTTGATAGCTTATATAGTCCTATATAAACGGTGGTTTAGAAGTATAACCTGAGCCGTAAGGCAGGGATTACATTGCAAGCAACTGTTTATATACTGTTTTATAACCTGCCAGATACTATTCTTGTGCTATTCTTTTGTAACGTAACTCTTTTGTAGATTCTGTAAATTTGAAATCAGACTGACCTTAAATATCCATGGAAACACGATTTTACATATTCGGCTTTAGCAATACATGTACAATCCATAAGAATACTACAAACTTGCAATATATTGACGATATAAAACTAGATGCAACTAGAGATCACATAGTATTTAGATAAATTCTTCTTACCCGATGCACCACAAGTTCCTTTGCCGCTACACTGGTTAGGGCAATTAAGTATTTTATCCTCTATATCTGACCTGTCTTCATCGGCTATCTCTTTCTAAACAATAACAAAACAAACAAAAATGTATTGAATAAGGTCATATATGTATTGTAAAAGTTGTGCAAAGTTTTGTTAGATGTGAGCAGCAAAATACTTCAACTGTTTTCAACATACATAATTCAAGATTTCAACTTCATGCACTTCGCGCATTCACGATTTCAACTTCAAGAAATCAACTTCAAGAATTCACGTTTTTAACTTTACGATGTCAACTTCGTGAATTCAAGATTTCATCTTCGTGAAGTTGTTATTGTGAAGTTCAAAGCATAAATTCATAAAGTTAACATCTTGAATTAACGAAGTTCAAATCGAGAAGTTCAAAACATGAATTCATGAAGTTTAAGCTGCGAAGTTGAAATCTAGAATTTGTGAAGTTGAAATGTCCCCACCGGTCTTTCATAAGAAACACCGGCACAAGCATGTATCATTTAAAGTGAATTGCTTGAACTACATTGGGAATATTTTCTATAAATATTTCAAATATTGATAAAATCATTACATATGTATCATATAGATATTCTTATAAAATATTGCTTGAAAAAAATATTGTAAAGTTCATGTGTTTTAGTATGAACATTTATATGATGATTAATAATATTTTATTTTTGAACATTTGAGCCGTGTCATGACTAAACCAACATAATGGGTTTGCGATCAGCATGGATACAGACCAGCCTGCGCATCCGCGCAGTCTGGTCAGGATCCATGCTATTCGCTATCAGTTTCTCTACTTGTAATAGAGTTGGTAAGCGAACAGCATGGATCCTGATCAGACTGCGCGGATCCAAGCTGGTCGCAAACCCATTATGTTGGTTTTGTCATGACGCGGATAATTTTATTATCTGCTATATAATTTCTTGCTATATCGGATCGTGTATCCCACACTTGACAGCAACATCCGTATATTATTCTTTCGTGGTTTAGTGTGTAATATATGATACAAAATACTATAAAGGTAATTATGTATATTTATTGCCGATCTACCAACTGTAGACCAATTCACTTTGAAACGCATTTGATATCTTAACAAATAAACAAACAAAATTAGAAATATTTTTATGTTTAAAGAAACATTTGACTGTACATACATTTTTTAAAACTTCGTTTTTCAAAACAGCCAAGGCTGCATTGCAAGCTGCCCATTCCCATGGTATACCGGCACACGTTTCCTGTAAGGAAAAGAAGAAGAAAAAACGTTCATTTCATTTTTATAGCTATAAAAAAATGATATGTACAAATGCAAACACTCATACAAGTACTAAAGATAGCTTTTACTTTTCTGTAAAAGACAAACTTATGGTCACCCTTCGATTATTTTAACGTCATGCAAGCCGTGCTTGTATTTATTTATTTTTTTTTATTTATTTATTTATTTATTTATTTATTTATTTATTTATTTATTTATTTATTTATTTATTTATTTATTTATTTATTGGTTTAGGCTTTATTTTTTATTTTGTAAGTATGATAATTTATTTAGGAAGAGCGCGATACGAGTGAATAGAATTTCCCTTATCCGAAACCATTCGCAAAATTCTTCTTAATTACTTTTTAATACATGACTTTCATTGTTTTCTATGCAATATAACCATATATATGTTTCGTTATATTACACAAGTGCAGTATGATAGCCGCGTTTGTTTAAAGCTGCATAATGTATTTTGCCGTCGGCCAAAAAACCAAGCATTATGCAGTTTCTTTAACCCTTTGAACAGTATTGTTGTAAATCTCAACAAATTTTGATCAAAGTTTAGGATTTTAAACGGAAAACCCCACGGTAACACTAAAGATCGTATAAGAATTTCAACATGCAAATAAAGCCTATAATCAGCTTGTGTATGAGCTACCTCACAGTGTTTTAGTTGCTATCCGGAACACAGCAAACATGAGATTTTCTAGTGCAAATACACTTTAACCGTTTAACTTCACGGTACACAAGGCCTGAGGCTCAGAAAAAAAGTAATCATCTCTTAAATAAGATTAAAGTTATATAAACATCCGTCACAATGCGGAAATACACTGTTATTGTTTGGTTTTATTAACCTGTCAATTACATACTGATTACACGGTCGATGCACACAGTATATTAATCTTCGGTAGATGTTCGGTAAGTTCCGTGAGATGTACGCTGTACGATGGAATTTAATTTAATTTGTATCTCTAAACTAAGTGTACTCAGCGTTATAGCGCAATAGGGTAAATCACGAGTTTATAATCTAAGTGCCACACGTGTTTTAAGTTCGAGGCCGCGTTGGTCCATGTTTTTTTTCTTATTAATACTTTCAACATTATTGAATCTATATATGATTATTTTATGTTGTTCGTTTTTTTATTATGTTTTACTTAATTTTGTTATGTATATACTCTTTTTAAATAACATGTTTTTTTTAAGAATTCATGTTTAAAATTAAAACGGATTAAAATCAATAAATGTCTTTTCAATGCCGTAAAACACACTACAAATCTGTTCCATTAAAATATACTGCAAAAATAAAGAAAGAGTACTAAAACAATGGCAACAGTAAGGATCGAACCACAGACCTCTCAATTATCAGGCATTCTCTTTACCGACTGTCCTATTGTGAATTAACGAAAACCTTTACATTAAGCTGGCGTGAATTTCAATCCATGACTAATATACTCCACATTAATTCTCGTAAACTACACGGACCAAACAGAAGTTGGATCGAATATTTAAATGATTCCTATGATGTATTCATAATTGACAGGTCAATAAAATCAGACTATAAATTAGGACTGCTACTTGTAGTCATGTTTGTTGATGCGGATAATCTGAAGGCGGAGTTTCTCATGCAAACTTAAATTGTACTTCCGATTTCGTCACAATGAGGTTGCCCATTTTTTATGATTATTAAATTCATTTTGATTGTCTGGACACCAAAATAAGTCATGGAGTCAATATAAAATCCAATTCATATAACGGACCATTTTGATTGAATTTAGCCAGAGGCTCACTTTTGAACTTTTGAACTATTTCCTTAACTGACAATTCATATCAGATTCTATATAAATATGATAGACTTTTTTTATATTTGTTAAATGATAAACCTTTTGATGTTTGTTAAATGTTGGCTTTTTGATACTTTTTAAATAATATACTTTTTAATATTTGTTAAATGTTGGCCTTTTGATACTCGTTCAATGATAAGAATATTGATATTTGTTAATTAGATCCGATCAGCAACAATAATAAATTTGTTCTATTCAAAAGGAAAAACCCTCAGAGTTTGTTGACAACTTAAATAAAACATGCATCAAATTGACATAGCTGTTCTTGAACGTGACGCACAATTACGTATTTTTGTTAAATACGTTTACATCAACCATATGCAGTTCCCCCAGAACTGGAAAAAATCTGATATAGAACAAAAATGTGTTTACTTTGCTTCAATTTTGCGGAATGTTCGAAAAGAATTAATTCTGTATTTTGTTTCCCTTATAAAAACAACAACCACAACAACAACAAGAGACGACAAGATACCTGTTTGTCCCGGGCACAAGCTTCTATCTTGTCACTGTGATCTTTAACTGCCTGTGTATCTACAAATACTTTGCCACAGACATTTGCCAACTGTCCTGTACAATTGACACGAGCTTCATCTCTTGTTACTGTGGGGCAATCATTCGTCGTTCTCTGCAAAAAGAATTACACTCATAAGTACAATGTAAATTTTTTTATTTCTTGTAAGTAAGTATTATAAAACTGATCTTTGTTGTGCTCACCTTTTTCCTTGTTACACTGGTTGATCGATATTCTTTCCATAGTTTCATACGGCGACTAATCTCTTGGCGGTCTAAATGGAAACCTTCGACCTCTTGCGCTCTTGTTGACCTTTTGCGGCGAGTTTGAGCATTTTCATATTCGTCAGCCCGATCATTGCACGTTCTCTTCTCATTGGTAGAACAGACTTGTTCATTTTCTGTGCAGGCACAATAGCTCTCATCGTCGCTTACATCTTCTAAACCTTCCAAATTGTTTTCGTCATCTAAAGCTTCCCCAGCCGGCACTCTGAAAAAATGTTTCCAGTCGGGTAGTAAAAGAACAGATATTATGCAAAAAAAGACATGAAAAACTATTTCACTTATACTGTATCGTTTAATACTTATCTTTAACATTAGTTACATTCTACATAGACGGGACAAATTTCATTGTTAAATATATAACATTTGATTCTATCTCAAAATGTATATAGCTTTAATTTATCAAGTTCAAAGAATGTTTCGTATATATATCAAGGTCACAAGGTCATTAAATAAGATTCTGTATAAAAGCAGAATTTAGAAGTCACACACAAATTAGGAAAGGGGGAAACAATAATAGCACAATGTTTACCTAAAGGACTCTGCAAACGCTGTCGGTTCATTAGATTGCCAGTTTTGTCCATCTAAAGTTACAGGCGTCTGTGTACCATCCCGGTGTTTTAAATCATTATATTCATCCCCATCAAGGTCACCACACAAACCTTGAGTATTTCGCACGTCAGATGGTGATGGGAAAATAATCACATTGACTACAGGCATACCCACCGTGCTTGGAGGCAATACAGAAATGGAAACGCTCGTACCATGGGCAAAATACACCTAGAACATCAAAATAACTTTAATCAATTATCGCAGAAATTATTTTGATTCTATATATCAATCATATACTACTACTACTACTACTGCTGCTGCTACTGCTACTACTGCTACTGATACTATTGCTACTGCTACTACCACTACTACTGCTACTGCTACTACTGCTACTACTGCTTCTGCTACTACTACTACTACTGCTACTACTACTACTACTACTACTACTACTACTACTACTACTGCTACTACTGCTACTGCTGCTGCTGCTTCTGCTGCTGCTGCTACTGCTGCTACTGCTACTGCTGCTACTGCTACTGCTACTACTGCTACTGATACTAATACTACTACTGCTACTGCTACTGTTACTGCTACTACTGCTACTGCTACTACTACTATTACTACTACTACTGCTACTACTACTACTGCTAGTACTGCTAATACTGCTACTGCTGCAACTACCACTACTACTGCTACTGCTTCTGCTGCTACTGCTATTACTTCAACTACTACTTCTACTACTGCTACTGCTACTACTGCTGCTACTGCTACTACTTCTGCTGCGACTGCTACTGCTACTACTGCTACTGCTACTACTACTACTACTACAACTACCACTAATACTGCTACTGCTTCTGCTGCTACTGCTTTTACTACAACTACTACTACATACTACTTCTACTACTGCTGCTGCTACTACTACTACTGCTGCTGCTGCTACTACTGCTGTTGATACTACTGCTACTGCTACTGCTGCTGATACTACTGCTACTGCTACTACTACTGCTAGTGCTACTGCTGCTGCTGCTGCTGCTGCTGCTACTGCTACTGCTACTGCTACAGCTACTGCTACTGCTACTGCTACTGCTACTGCTACTGCTACTGCTACTGCTACTACTACTACTACTACTACTACTACTACTACTACTACTACTACTACAACCATCACGTTCAGAGAAAGAAATGGAAGACCGATTTGAAAACAGGGCAAACCATTATTAGACGATAAGAAACTGCTTCTTGACCTGCACTTTGCACATGGGTAGAATATGTTGCCGCCAGCCGGCGAATGATTGTATGTCACACAATTGCCGTTAGTCAAGGTATTTGCTTTTATCTAAGTGTCATTTGTTCAAAATATTCCCTGGTCGTTTAGAATTTTAAAACGAATGCTCAGCTTCTTTTACTCAAATTTTAAGAATCTGATTATTGAGAAAGTGACACTAACTCAAAATTGGCCAATGGAAATCCTGACATTTGAGACAGAATAACAAAAGAAGTACCGGCCTAAATTTGTTTCAGGAAGCGGACTGGAAAATGATTCATTACTTTTCAAGAATTTCTTTCATAATCGAGCTGGAAATAGTATAAATGCAATTGATTATACATTTTAGCCGCGTCACGAAAAAACCAACGTAATGTGTTTGTGACCAGCATGGATCCAAACCAGCATGCGCATCTAAGCAGTCTGATCAGGATGCATGCTGTTCGCTTACAGACCCTATAACAAGTAAAGAAACTGATAGCGAACAGCATGGATCCTGATCAGTATGCGAGGATGCGCATGCTGGTCTGGATCCATGCTGGTCGTAACGTTGGTTTTGTCGTGACGCGGCTCATTTATCATTGTTTGACCTTATAATTTCATGAATCCATACGACGTCTTATTCTCAATACAATTATACGTACCATAAATGTTCCTTGGGACTCTTTCACTACATAAAGTGATTTTTTCTCTGTTCTCTGTAGGTATGAAGAAGTAAATGGTGGGGAACAGAAATTTACTGCAAAAACATCTTTACCATTCCTTATATATACTGCACAGACGCATTTCACGTTAGTCCAATCACCGCTACATGACTGTGTTGTTATTTGAACCTTTAATAACAATAAAGCATTATGAAACTGCGGTACATATATCATTAAAATAAAAGTCGAACTTTAATGACTGTGTCAGAAACAAATAATTGTACATGTAAATAATTGTTAACAACTATTAATATATCCGCATATCTTATCAAATTAGTTCGGTAAAGTAAAATTAAAAAAGATTTTATATAACATAAAACATGTACAATACCTCCGCCGATTTCTTTGTGTTCTTGTACATAAGAAAAGTTCCATCAATCGAATTAACGCTGTATGGTCTAAAGATTTAGAAAAAAGAGCAGTCACCATTTATAGCTATTAAATATCTTATGCGTAATAATATATTATTAAAAAATCATACAGAAATTTAGACAAATATCTCAGTTAAGAATTGAAAGAAATGAAACAGCACAGTACAGTACAGTTTCCAAACGGTAATCTGAAAGTCCGAGGTTCGGGAGACTTCACATGTTTCCTTTACTATAACATAACAAGCATGTTGTTATAACATCTGTTTTATTTAACGGCGTACTAACACAATTTGATTGTATATGGTGCCGAATGGATAATGATTCTGGCTAACCTCCGGTGTTAAAATCCTGCAGCAATATCAGGGATAAAAACTACCTCCATTGCTTGAGCCAAGAGTTTCATAGACTCCAGTTATTTGAATCCATTTATTCGTTTCTTACGATCATGCATGGATAAACAATGACTGCAATTCTAAAGCCTAAAACCTTATAGGCAACCCATCAGCTATAATGGGAACTATATTTAAACATTTGAGCCACGTCATGACAAAACCAACATATAGGGTTTGTGGCCAGCATGGATCCAGACCAGGCTGCGCGTCCGCGCAGTCTGATCAGGATCCATGATGTTTGCTATCAGTTTCTCTATTTGTAAAAGAGATGGTTAGCGAATAGCATGGATCCTGATCAGACTGCGTGGATGCGCAGGCTGGTCTGGATCCATGCTGGTCGCAAACCCATTACGTTGGTTTTGTCGTGACGCGGCTCATTTGATGATGTTGGAACTCATTATCACTGTCCTTGTACGGCATTTGTTAAATTGACCCTGTTATTAAGCTTCACCCACATATCTTCAAATTTGTGTCTATTCGGTCGTCTACCGCATGATGCGGAGTTTTCCTTCCCTATTTTCTTCACACTTATTGTTGTTCCTACTGATATAATTTTAGCTCTTCAATGGATATAATAATAGATACATGTCGCTGTTTTAGGATCATATAATAAATGTCAAGTATAATTAAAATAAATAAAGTAAGTATGCTTACAATTCGTCAAATGTTCCAAACCTTGGATCATTTGTAGCGTGACAGTGTGTGCCCTTCCAGAAAGGGTCATCCTCATTTACATTCAGCTAAATAATAGTAAAGGTCAAAAGTTAACAAATTAACTTAATAACTTACACTCCAATATAATTGTATTATGACTTGGCTACATATCCTTTACAATTTGAACCTAATTTTGTATTTGACCAGAGCGTCGCAACATATCATGTACAGGCGTTTTCGTGATTATGTTGTATCTCATGTACAGAATAAATCACAAATACTCAAATATTATGAACAGATTTTATGTCTTTGTTACATATCATGTACATATATTTATGTCATTGTTACATATCAAGTACAGATTATCATTTCTTTGTCAATTATCATGTTCAGTTTTTTACTACTTGTAAAATCTCATGTACAGATTGTATGCCTTACACATTATGTACAGATTTTATGTCTTTGCTACATATCATGAACATATTTGTATGCCTTAAATTGTGTTATATTATGTACAGATTTTATGCCTTTGTTATGCATCATGTACAGATTTTTATGTCTTTGTTACACATTATGTACAGATTTTATGTCTTTGCTACATATCATTTACAAATTTTATGCCTTTGTTACATATCATGTAAAGATGTTTTATTTCTTAATAACATACTATTAAAAATATATCATAATTACGTAATATTTATATTACAAATAGACATAAGTGAACGGTTCAATGCTCGTAAACTCATACAAATGAAAAAGCAAGAGTGCACGATAACTAAATTATACTAGCATAGGTTTGGACATACTTTACAAAACAAATTGAGCTGAAATATCTTACGCAAGCTTGCCTTAAAGTGTTTTTTTTTTAATTTTTTTTTATTGTTTTTTTTGAAACAATATCAAGTTGTTGTAACTTGTTTCATTCTGCCAAGTTTGTCTATGATACATGAAATTTTATAATTAATTCTTATAACTATATGTTTCATAAAGTCAATAACGCATCAATTTATGCAAATATAATTACCTTTTCTTTCTTTCCAGATAAAATAAAAGGGCAATTTGTTATAACGAATTTAGCTGAGTAGCTTTATCACTGTTAAATGAAGTTTGTAGAAGAAACAAGGTGCTTTTATATCAAATCAAATCAAGTCATCGCGTAAAACAAACTTTTAAATATATATTATGTCATGATAAAAACTTTATAAAACCAAAAATACCTCAATCTCCTCAGTGAAGGTACCTCTAAAGTAGCTTTCGACGGAACCGAAGGTTTCTATTTCCACACGTGCCTTAAACTGTGTTTTTCCAAGTACGTACTGTTCATCATCATTCCTCAATATAAACTTGATCGCTTTCTCTCCAATATCTTCATCCCCGCTGTGTTTCCCGTATATCCTAATACCACAAGTTTCTGCTGATCCCTTCACTGCCAGAGATGGCTCGCTGCACGAGTTGTCGTCATCTAATATTGTCGCTTTTATAATGATGTAACATTCGTCGTCTTCTTGACAAATTAACGGAAGATCAAAGTATGCCGTGATATTCGCATCATTGCCCCTTTTAATCTCGATTGTGGTGGATTCAGCCTGTAACAGTATGCACAGATGTTCAGAGAATTGTCTTAATCTTTAACCTATTGAATTTCATAGATTTACGTTTCATTTGACTATTTATGGAAGTGTTTATTATACCAAAAATATGGATATCAAATTGAAATCAATGCTTTAGCATTGTTAGAACAGCATTCGAAATGGACCACATGAAAAACACGTGTGTTGTAAATGACCACGCGTTGCAAATTTGATCGCAGGTAGGGTAGGACAGGTAAACGTGTCAATGATATGATTTCCAAAAACAGGGGTTGACACATTTAAAAAGATTTTCTGAACTGATAATATTAAAAAAATGCAAGATAACAAGAACGTTTGAAAATGAACATTTATATCAGTATTTTATTATAGCAATTGTATTACTGCGACATATAGGCTATATGAGTCGTGCAGGAGTTTTAGATTGCGCGGTGGCCGGTTCTAATCTGGATTGTAGAACCTTTTACATAAACGGGTCTAGTTTTGTCCTTAAAGTCTGATTTAAGACAAGGTAAGATATCCTGACATGGCTCAGCTGGAAACGACGGTACTATGAATGATATTTGTTATTTGGTATTTTGCAGAAAAGGAAATATATTTTTCCTAAAACGTTTTGCGATAATAATATGAATAAACAACACTTTTTTGTCCGTTGTAACAAAACTGACTCTAAAAACCCAACTTTTTCAAATTTTATGACGCAATACAGTACTGCGCACATCATTCGACTGTCCGTCTGTATGCCCGCAGATAATTCGTGACTGTGGGAAGACTTTCGTTAAAACTTCTTCGATCAAATTAGATGGTTTTGGTAGTTTTTAAGATTATTTTGCATGCAGAACCTTAACTAAGAAGTTTTGAAGTTATAAGAGAGCAATAATTCCTCCAAAAATTCCATGTCAGAGTTATATGCCATGACTTCGTTAGTTTTTATTTGTTTGGGTCGTCAGACCAAACAAATAATGGTAGCGAAATTTCAGAGCCTAATGCTGTTAATTGCAAATGCCTAAAGTAGTACACTTTTTTGAAGCGGTTACTTCCCTTTATATGTACACTAACGCCGAAAAATTCAGGGGAGATCAATGCGTAAAGTTTGTCAAATGACAGGCGCATGAATTTTCAAGCAAAGTAGTTCTCGAATGGTCGAAGATTTCTAATATTGTTTCATTCTTTATAGATATACATGCTTACAGTAAGCTCCATGATTATTTACATCTGTGTTAAACAACAGGTTTAGCGTCGAAATAATAAGAGTTACAAACCCTAAATTAGAATAATATGGTTTTCTTCAGGCCGTTAACATATAACTTCACTGTGGCCGAGGGAGGGGTTTGCACGCTCTCTTATGAATCGAGAGGTCTAGAGTTCAAATCCCAGTTGATGCAACTCATTTTTTTTTAAATTTTAAGTCAAATAAACAATGAATTGACTATCAGTGTTGCAATTAGTCTTATAGCCAATTTACTCCAGTTAAGACACTGAAAAGTATTGGTGGCACTTTACAAAAGCAAATTTGTTTATAATCTTACAACCTTCACCATTCTGACATTCTGAGACCAAAACAAATTCAGCGCCTTATGTGCTTTGATTTTAACTGATTTTGCTTGAAAAAAATCTTAACCAACTATTTGCTAAAATTCACAAGGGTCTTGATTCTGTCAACTTTATCTAAGAGTAACGGGCTTTGGAAAATTTCCTCCAATTACGATGTCAAATAAATGTATAAAATTTACATGCAAATATATTCAGTGGTTGTTAATATATATGATGTTGTGCAACAAGTTGTGTATAAATTTCTAAATAAAGTATTAACTGAAAAACATTTAAAAATGCATTGGCAGGTGTGGTGAATAGGCAAAATAGATTAAGGTTCAACGTATTAAATATCTGCAAGAAATTCTTTCAACTACCGCTGCCACCATCTCTACTATTATCATCATACCTACCTCTTTCACAACCACTTGATCAGTATACACATTTGTTTTTAAATTAGCCGAAAAAAATGCATAATTATGTCATAATGGTATTTACTTTTGTCAAAAAAGTTGTATTTGTTTTATAGAACTGTTTTTACTCAGAAGAAAACAGAAAAAACTCGTAGCAAGACAACCAGAAAGACAAACAAAAAGGACGCAGTAAATACATGTACTGACATATAATGCAATATACTACAAGCAAATATTCAAAGATTTCCATTCCTATTCAAATTAATTGACGTGTTAACTAGCAATAACACTGATTAGGTAAACATGCATGTTATGATGTATTTTGCGTATTAATATTGACCTGTTACGATTTCGCATAAAAAAATCGGTATCGATAACATTCGTAACATGAGATGCATCTTCACACATTTGTAAAACCAGTTACGAATGAGATCAAATTCGTTACAGGTGTTACAAATGTTATGATAAATAACAGCCGGACGGACAGATTAACAGAAAATAAAGATTTAGTGGTAATTCAATTGATAGATCCCTACTCTGATATTTTATTTGAATAACAATATTAGATTTAACCACAAACACTGACATGTGCTCTTTTGTTAACAAATACGTTTTGGTGAAATTTGAATTAGACACGTTAGAGTAATATATACCCATTGCTCCTGTAAGCCACATCAAAACATAATTATTGGCCACATGAAATCGCTTTTACCGTAGAAAAACAAAGTTGACCACAGTTTACTTAATGTGAACAATATGTATGGAACGCCGTGACTGTTTTATGCTATTAATGTTTTTGCTATCTTGTGAAATGATGTTATTATTTTGTCATTTTAGCATATTAACATGTGCAATTTACATCATATCTTGTCTAAAGACAATGCTGGCTTGTTCAAACAGCATGTTAACTTGTCAAATAATCATTATGACATGTGCAGACAACATGTTAACTTGTCAAAGTATCATGATGACTTGTGCAAACGACATGTTAACTTGTAAAAATATCACGGTGACTTGTGCAAACGACATGGTAACTTGTCAAAATTTCATGATGACTTGTGCAAACAGCATGTTAACTTGTCGAATTATCGTGATGACATGCTCATAATACCTTAACAAGTAAACATGTGTTTTGCACAAGTCATCATGATCTTGACAAATTTACATGTTGTCTGCACAAATCATCATGATAATTTGACAAGTTAACATGTCATTTGCACAAGTCATCATGATACATTGACAAGTTAGAATGGAGTTTGCACAAGTCATCACGATACCTTGACAAGTTAACATGCTGTTTGCACATGTCATCATGAAATTTTGACAAGTAAACATGTCGCTTTCACAAATCACCATGAAACTTGGACATGTTAGCATGTTGTTTGCACATGTTATCACGATGATTTGACAAGTTAACATACTGTTTGCACATTTCATCATGAAATTTTGACAAGTTAGCATATCATTTTCACAAGTTATCATTATACTTGGACAAGTTTACATGTCGTTTGCACAAGTCATCATACGGAAGCTTGTATGTACCCCCGCTATGAAGACATGAAGTCGTCTCCCTCGACTTATAGAACACAACAAGTCGTCAAAATCACGACGACAAGTTTATATATACAATGTCATTTTGACAAAATATATGTCATCATGTCGAGATACGGCATCCCGACTTTCAAACATAAATATACTTGTCGGCTTGAAGTAACATGTATGTCGACCTCCATGTTATTTCCATGCGTCAAATATATTAATGTATGAAAGTCGGGATGCCGTATCGCGACATGATGACCTATATTTTGTCAAATGACATGGTATATATAATCTTGTGGTCGTAATTATGACGACTTGTTGTGTTATATAAGTCGAGGGAGACGACTTCATGTCTTCATAGCGGGGGTGCATACAAGCTTCCGAATCATCATGATACTTGGACAAGTTTACATGCTGTATGCACATGTCATAACGATAATTCGACAAGTTAACATGCTGTTTACACATGTCATCATGAAAGTTTGACATGTTAGCATGGCATTTGCACAAGTTATCATAATACTTTGACAAGTTAACATGTTGTCTTTACAAGTCATTATGGTAATTTGACATGTTAACATGCTGTTTGCACAAGTTAGCATGATACTTTGACAAGTTTACATGCTGTTTGTACATGTCATCACGATAATTCGACAAGTTAACATGTCGTTTGCACAAATCATCATTATACTTTGACAAGTTAACATGGCGTTTGCACAAGCCATCATGACACTTTGACAAGTTAACATGCTGTTTGCACATGTCATCAAGTTAACATGTCGTTTGCACAAGTCATCATTACATTTTGACAAGTTACCATGTCGTTTGCACAAGTCATCATTATACTTTGACAAGTTAACACGTTGTTTGCACAAGTCATCACGATACTTTTACCAGTAAGCATGTTGTCTGCACATGTCATCATAATAATTTGACAAGTTAACATGCTGTTTGTACAAGTCAGCATGTTCCTTTGACAAGACATGATGTAAATTGCACATGTTAAAATGCTCAAACGACAAAATAATGTCATGGTTTCACAAGATAACAAAAAAATTGATTACATGAGACAGTTACGGCGTTCCATAAATAAGAAAAAAACAATAAAATAAAATGTTTACCTGAACAGGGTCTTCAGCATCAGAAACTGTAGTATAAACCAAATCACCATTTAAGCTGTACACGTCGATTACACATACGTACTGAAATTAAAATTGATAACATACAGTGTTAGATTGAAATGCATTTTAGCATAAAAAAGTCTTATAAAGGCAATACAATCACTTCCAATAAACACTCGAAACAATGTACGGAAGGGTTTTTATGTCATCCGTAACAAGTTATGAATCTGAGTTACTTAATGCAGTCGCGTAGCAAGCAAGGGGATTCGTAATCACTTTAAAAAAACGAAACGAACTTTTTAAATAAAAAACAACAGAAAAACATCAAATGGAAAAGACAAAAATTACAATGATGAATGAAACGAACACCAAAAATTGGAATTTGTTTCCTTACATATTGCAAGGACGATAAAAATAAATGAGCAGCGTCACGAAAAAAACCAACATAGTGGGTTTGCGACCAGCATGGATCCAGACCAGCCTGTGCATCCGCGCAGTCTGATCAGGATCCATGCTGTTCGCTTACAAACCCTATAACAAGTAGAGAAACTGAGAGCGAACCGCATGGATCCTGATCAGACTGCGCGGATGCGCAGGCTGGTCTGGATCCATGCTGGTCGCAAACGCATTATTTTGGTTTTGTCATGACACGGCTCAAATATGTCTCCGTTCAGTAACATAATTGATTCGACAAACAATATATAATCAAATTTTAGCGTTGGTAAAAGTCCTCACTTCTTTTAAATCAGTTCCAAATGCAGTCCGTACAATAAACATGCATACCACATTAACGCAAATCGAAGTGAAAATTTAACTTAAAAAACTCGTTCAACAGATTAAACTGTCATAGTGGACACAGATAAAGTTTAATGAGTCTGGGAAGGTATGAAGTCAATCAGTTTTGAAATATTCACACACCTCTAAGTCTAAAGCATATTGTCCATGTAAGTCAAAGCGATCAACAGGGACTTGATACCCTCTAGCTTCAGCAGCTGTCAATCTGTTGGTTTTATATAACTCATATCCATCGCCATTCCTGCAAAGAACAATTTAAAGTCGTTAATTCAGACCTGCAGTACAAAGCGTAAAGAAGATATCAAAGTTAATTATATGTACATATTTTCTACTTATAATACTGCACGTTTTTGTAACGTCGCTTTCCATTGGATAATCGTGACGTTTATATAATTTTATATAAACGGCTGCTGTTGATTCATGAAGAAATCTTACTGTTTTCTCTTAAAAATGATGCTTGCTGTATTATAAATTCGTTATAAAGATTGTTGAGGGGTTATATGACCGTATATAAACGGCTGTTTGCAATATAACCCTCGCCTAGCGGCTCGGATCATATTTACAGATAGCCGTTTATATAGAGCCATGTAACCTGTCAACAATCTTTAAAACTAATAATATAATGTATGCATGACATGCACCGATAAAACCCGACAGAAAAAAATCACCAGTGATATAACGCTAAAGCTTAATATATAGTTAAAATTGGACTGGACAAGATATATGACAAGTAAAATGGTTTCCTGCGGTGAACATTTTAATGATATAAAGATATTTCATTTAACTATTTTCAACATTATTTGGGGGGGGGGGGGGGGGGGGGTAAATAAACGTTTGTATCAGGAATATAGTTTACAATAATCGATCAATATAGAAGAAGGTATTTGGAAACAGGTGAACGTTGAAGAACATATAACAATTATTTCTTTTTAAGAAAATGATTAAATAGGCCTACCATTTTATGAATAATTCCGAGCAAAAAATAAATTAAGTAAACACACAAGTTTACGCAGAAAATATCTCTATCTATTATGGCAGATGCCACTACGAATATCTTAATTTTGTAGATTTTCAGTTTAAACAATTTATTGTTTGTAAAATTTGAGATAGATATTAAGGAAACATTGATAATTTTCAAACACATCATTCAAGTTTTTCCACCTTATGGTAAAATAATTATAGAAAATTAGAAATATCGCGTAATAGTTTTTTGTTCTCAATTAGGTATAATTCGGACTAATTCCCTACAGGTGAATCCGTAACGTACCGGCTAACGGTATTTAGCTGGGTTTTCGAAAAGGTCAATTAACCAATTACATGAATTATATACGGTTTACAGATCACATGCTCCTCCAAGTACCGAAAACAGGTCACGTGCTCCTCCATGCCTCAAAAGTTAAACGCGTACCAATACCCTGGGAATAAAGGGGTTATCAAAAGAGTTTTTTGATCTATCACCGCAGATTTTACTAGATCGAGTCACATCAGGTGCTTTTGTGTCTCGTACAATCTTAGTCCAAAACAAGGTTCAGATCAAGATGCTCTTGTTATAATATAACTGCTATTGTTTGCAAGTTAGTATGGAATGCCGTTAGGGCCATCGCCTATGAATGTGTTGATCTAAAACACGAAAGTCGATAGTACGATGGTGAAAACGCGAAATCACGAAACTACGATGGTGAAAACGCGAAAGCACGATGATGAAAACGCGATAGTACGATGATGAAAACGCGACAGTACGATACTACGATGATGAAAACGCGATAAACTATCGTGTTTTCACCATCGTACTGTCGCGTTTTCACCATCGTAGTTTCGTGATTTCGCGTTTTCATCATCGTACTGTCGAGTATCGCGTTTCAGATCAAACCATTCATACGCGATGGCCCTAACGGCATTCCGGAATGCCGTTAGGGCCATCGCCTATGAATGTGTTAATCTGAAACGCGATAGTCGATAGTACGATGGTGAAAACACGAAATCACGAAACTACGATGGTGAAAATGCGATAGTACGATGATGAAAACGCGATAGTACGATGATGAAAACGCGATAGTACGATGATGAAAACACGACAGAACGATGGTGAAAACGCGATAGTACGATGATGAAAACACGACAGTACGATGATTAAAACGCGATAGTACGATGGTGAAAACGCGATAGTACGATGATGAAAACACGACAGTACGATGATGAAAACGCTAAATCACGAAACTACGATGGTGAAAACGCGACAGTACGGTGATGAAAACACGACAGTACGATGATGAAAACGCGAAATCACGAAACTAAGATGGTGAAAACGCGACAGTACGATGGTGAAAACACGATAGTTTATCGCGTTTTCATCATCGTAGTATCGTACTGTCGCGTTTTTATCATCGTACTTTCGCGTTTTCATCATCGTGCTTTCGCGTTTTCACCATCGTAGTTTCGTGATTTCGCGTTTTCACCATCGTACTATCGACTATAGCGTTTCAGATCAACACATTCATAGGCAATGGCCCTAACGGCATTCCGTAAGTTAGTTGTTAATACACAGATCAACAAATTAATGACATCTCATTCGTATGAAAAGGTCATTGAAGGGCGCCATTGCATTTTGCCATGTAAATGATTCCCGAAAGGACGTCCAAAACGGCAAAAATTGAAAATATTGCTAACTCGGTTAGGTCAAGTTTTGTTTTTTCATGGACAATTTTGGAAAGTACAAGCTAATGTCCATGCCCCCTAGCACCATCTTGATGAAAATTCATCAAGTTTGAGAAATATTAATCTGTTACATGCCACACTTGATTCCTTTTTTACATACACAACCCTTTCAATATTATAATACATAATGAAAAAGGTGTTTTTCCTCTTATTCTAATGCCCTCGATTTTATTCATGCAATCTATGAACCTTAATGTTAATTTAGAAAAGCACCAAGCACAGAAAATTATATAGATAGATAAATATGTCATTGACAAATACATATATTGGTACATGGTCATAAATACAAAACATATAATATAAACTACAGACCTTCCATCATAGACCATCCCACTTTAATTATCGAGCGGTTATATAATATGCTAATCAATATAAAACTAAATTTTTATTGTCGCAGAAAAGAGTTTTGTACATACCACGAGATCTCATATTCAAAGTCGTCTGGTATTTCACAGTCACATGACAATGCAAGCTTTCGCTTACCATCCTCCTCTACAACAAAGGAATGTATTTCAGGAGACAGTTCAGGTCCTTCCCAGGCTGAAATAATTGAATATTTTGTTGACCACATATAAATAATGTTAAAACTGTCGAAAAAAGTGCTTTAAATGTTTTAAAATTACATTTTTGATGTCACATGCATTGCCTGTAACCGTCGCTTTTCATTGCTAGATTTACAAACACTATAACTTCTTTTAGAACTGTTCAAGCGCAGACGGAAAAGCGACATTTATAAACAGGTAACCATCTTCAGTTTATACGACAAAAATTCTTCGTTATTATCAAAAAACTTATTGGCAAAATTTAAAAGCAAATATACATAGTCTAAAATAGAAAGTCATATTCAACAGCAAGAAAAAAGTCGTATAATTTCAGAATATTATTAACGCATACTACAATGTTATATTATATAATCTACTGTTCATCTCGAAATAATGTTTAAAAGAAACTGTTTTAAATATTGTTTGCAGGTCTTGCTGAATCGTCACTTGTTTAAAAATCAGCACTGACATGAATCTGTCTAAAACAAACATTCAACAGTAAGTAATATGGACTTGTATAAAACTAATATATGACCAACTATATACTATCCATCGAAATGATGGAAAAACACGATTAGTCTGTACCGAACAAAAAGCCTCTACATTTTTACTCGAAATTCATTTAGTATTTTACCAGTGGCATGAATCTATTTTTTTTGTAAACCTTTTTAAAATCTATATTACAGTTATAATATAATGATTGCGAAATTTCTGCATAAATTGATTACGTTTGTATCTAGATAATAAAAAATCATATCTGTGTCTTTGTGAGCACAAACATTAAACACCTTGATAATATTATTGCCGTAATTCGATCAATACGAAAACATACTGATGAATTTCGGAATACTGAGACTAAGTGAAAAGTCAATCATAATTATGATACAGCGCTTAACAAATGGAAACATTTTTTTCTCAAAATCTTGATTGTAATGAGTCTATTACTTACGCGGGCCTTGGTAGTCCGGCATTTCCGTCGAGTCATCCGATGAAGTCGAAGTTGGTCCTATATAATCTAAAGAAAATATAAATAGCAAAATTTTGTTTATGTCTCAATCAAGTCAGTTTTATTTAATTATAGAGCTCCGATCTTGTGAATTTTACACATGATGTAATAAACTTACTCTGGCATTAGGAATATTTTAAAGAACTTTAAAAATAAGGGCATCAGGTTGACTAATCTATTGTGACCGGTAGCGCACACTAAGTTGTATTATGGTTAGCGATTATCTTCCGATCAAATGATGAATGTTTTGCTGTTGGTATAATACCGCAATCTTTGAAAAAAGTACAAACTCAGGACCAATTTATATAGCCTGTTCGTGGACGTCTGTGATTGAGACAATTGAAATGATATAAATATTTGATAATTAATTATAAAATATTTCTCAATTTAATCAATCAAATCATCTTATATTTTTTAAGTTGTCAAAAATGGCATTATGTGTTATAAGTTGCTAATGTGTCGGTTTCTCATGTTGATCCCACATTCGAGTACTACTGACGGTTCAGAACAATATTATTATTTTGGCATGAACATTGCTTATCCACGATCTTGTTGCTGGTGTTGGTGATCTTTATTGACAGGGAAAAAAAACATTTATCGTCAAAATCGAGCTTAGAAAACTGTGAACTTGTGTTTTAACCATTTAATACTTAATTCCACGTGTCCAATTCAAATTTTCTTGGACTGTCTTCTATCAAATTTAAGTATCAAACTGCAAATTAAAAGTTTGCCAGGCAAAAATTTAAAGCCTGCACCCAGACAGAACTGACAGGTGTGATAATTCTATAATTGATAGCAGAAACTTAACATTTACGTTTACAGCAAGGTAAGTGATAACAATTACCTGTATCAGTACTCTCCATAGAATCTGTAGATCCGGTAAAATCGTCATCTGATGAAGTAATAAACGTGTGATAATACTTTACAAATTCATCAAATTCTTAAAATTTGTTATTTAAGGTGATGCCTTCAACCAAACAGATTATGCTTATATATCCATACTATGGATGAATTAATGCACTACAAAACATTGCACTCTTACACTTTACACAAATTATTAATACGAGCCATTTATTCCATTTAGACTGCTTTCGGAACAGTTTAGCTTTTACTCATCATCAACTTACTAGATAACGCAAAAGGTTAAAGTGAAATGAATGATTATTATCTCAGTAGAATATCATATGGCACCAATTAAATGGAATGAGAGAAATAGGATAATGTTAAAAATGGTGGTAAAGCTGGACATTTTATTGCTTTGATTTGAAAGAAACAAACTTGATATAAGGTGAAGGAGACATTGTTGAATATAACACAAAGAGCATCACCAGGATATCTCGATTTTAACAAGCGATGCTAAGGTACAGCTTAAGAAATTTCCATCAATCATTATACATTTTAGCGAATCACATGTGTAAGAAAATTAAAATAAATGAAAAACTGAAAATAGATAATACATTTTAGTAATTCATTTAATAAAAATAGCATTCTCGGACTTTTAAATGATTAATATTTATAACACTTAGACGATTGGTTACAAAAACAACATTGTGATTTACTGTGATGGCATCATCCAATAAACGCGTCAAAAAAAAAGGAATGTTTCCCGGGAACACCTACGTTTTTATACACTATTCTAACACGACCCGCATTTTTCCCTATTGTACATAGAAAAACAGTAAGTGTGTGTTATTATGCAACAGATGCACAGTTTGACGTTCTATATTTAGACATGTGACGTAATCATTATACACGTCACACATGTGACGTAATCATTATACACGTGCCGTAACCACTAAAAATCCGACGCGGTGAAAATAAGTACGGAAACAAATCAGGCACAAATTTGCTTAACTATCAAGTACAGCAGCATTTATTTGTTGATGTCGTGTTAGAATAGAAATAATATATCCAAATCAGTGATTTTATCGCTTGATAACATCACTGTTTGTCGTTCGGATGCGCATCATTATATCACTCGGGCTCGTGATATAATTCCTCGCATTCGAACTCCAAACAGTGATGTTATTGAGCGATAAAATTACTGTTTAGGATATATTATTTCTTAAGTAACGTACAGAGAAGAGCTGAAAAGTTGCAACTGAACTGACTGTAAAATTGATGGAAATGCTGTTACTTCTACTCAAATGCAGAACTTGTAAACAGTACTTCCAGCGCTTTGATTCCGACTTTATGAATGAACATTTCGTGTTTGAATTCGTTTCTTTGCTCTTTTACAATTTAATGTTTAATCAAATCAAATATGATAATGCATATTCCTAAATAAAAGCAATGACCATATTTGAATTTAGATTGACCGCGTTAAAATTATTGATGAATGGTTGCAAAACGAATGCATTGCATCATTTCGACAATAAATTCCCTTATGATGATTTATAAGTAAAGTAAATGGGAATAGTGAAAAATGGGAATAAACACTGCATACCTGTTTCAGTCATAGGAGGCGTGGGCATTGTTGAATCATAACTGTTATCCGCTGAAAAAATAATGAAAATGATGTTTAGAATTAAAGAGAATACACACTTAATTGTTCAGTTCATTGAATCATAAAGAAATGGTGCTTATAAATGAACAACAATTAACATTTAGACCACCTATATTCATGAACTCTTGTTGTTGTTAAACATCGTCACAACCAATGAATAATTATTACCTACGAATGTGTTTGGTAAACATTTGAATAAACAGAGGGAATTTTATCACGCCAATCACCTGCTTAGAACGTCATTTTGATCACTAAGTTATTTGTCTGAATGAGATATTCCACATTGCGGCAGCTATTGCATTAAAGTTATCACGTCGCCCTATGACCTTAACTTTGTCGGTGTGACGTAAAATCCAATCAAACAAAACATTAGTGCTCAAGTAAATTTAAAGATCACGTCAGCATTTTGTATTTATTTATAAATATAATACAACAGAACGCATGATTATAATCACACCACCATACTCAATTCATTCATTAATTTGAAAATCAAATACAAAATACTGACACCTGCAAAACAGGTGATGGTCATTATCAAAATATTAATAAATGCAATGATTCTATATTGCCTTACTTGAAAAAGCATCACTTGAGCCTGTCAGATAGTCATCAACTGGAATATAAAATCAAAATTGAGCCGCGTCATGACAAAACCAACATAATGGGTTTTCGACCAGCATGGATGCATGCATCCGCGCAGTATGATCAGGATCCATGCCGTTCGCTTACATACTCTATAACAAGTAGGGATTGTCGTGACGCCGCTCATATTTTTAACTGATTATTTAAAAGGTATTACCAATTCTAAGTATTTAAAGATGTTTGCTACATATATGAGTTTGTTACAGAATTTTTTTAATGGTTTGTTATAAATTCTTTTAAATAATAGTTATTGTATATAATTATGACAGCTTCTTTATTTAATCCTACTAGACTATTCTGTATCAATTGATTATGGACCAAATAAGGCTAACATTCCCGGTAGATAGTACCACTCGGATACCTTTAACACTCATACATACCAGGTATGTATTATTTTTCTGCTAAGCTACTATTATGTTAATAGTTATGCTTCACTCTGAGTTTTGAACCGTCCCGATTCCAATACCTAGTTACTAAAATTAGGCAACCTGAATCTTATCCCCGTTGTAACCAGAATACAATATTTTTTAAAATCAGAATTCTTAAACTCAAGAAAAGATTACTCTTAAAATAATGATGCTAGATATATGTTCACCGTCAAACATGATGTGAGTGGTCATATTTAAGTCTTTCTGTTGCCATAGCAACCACATTTTTCAACATAAGAAGAAATATCAGATGTATAATTATAATAATGACAATACTTCTGTAAACAACTGATCGAAAGCTGCCCGCCGCAATTTAGAAATCCAGTATCCATTATTTTCATTCAGAACACATGTGTAACGAATTGTGCATATAATAACTTTTCAATTTATATGTACATGTATGCCATTTATGAAAATATATATACATCAAGTGCATATAAAGACAAAAAATTCATAATTCTTTGCAATCTTAAGTATCCTTTATAAAATAGAATAAAACAGAACGTCAAACTCACAGTCACTTTCATCCATATAATAGTCTGACGAAATGTCCATATAGTCGCTGGTACTCGTTGGGTGAATTCCAGCTAAATTAAATAAAAAGTGAATTTCGTTACTTATTTCGTTAATTTGTGCATTTTTGTTTTTTACTTTTTTTTGCAAAAGACAAAAATCATCACACAACAGTATTCTTTTTCAGTGTCTACAAAGAAGCTTTTAATATTTTAATTACGGAAGTGTTTATCAGCATTGGTACATATCAGAGTATGCATTTCATAGGGCTTCCATGGCCGAGTACTTATTGTCTTTGACTTTGTCTGCCTCTCACCGCTGTAGGTTGGGAACCACGCTAGCGTGTTAAAAGTCTCTGTGCTAGATTCACCATACACTTACTAATCCTCTTTCTTTTCACGACCATTTAATGATTTTAGTATTGATCATATGATCTGTTGTAATTGCGTTATATACCTCAAATAAACAGATAACATACGTTTAAGTAATATTAACAACGACAGTGCATGCTATTCATTATGAAACATGCAAAGAAACAACTTGTCAGTGAAAACATGACATGTTTATCGTTATAAAAGCACACCTATCCAAAGGGGCAGATAATCTTTAAAATATTTTGTGCAAGGTAATGCGTCTTTTTCTCAGAAGCTATCAAAAGTTTTCACTTGATACTGTACCATATATACATTCTTACAATTAAAATGTCACCGGTTAATACTAAAATTTATTTTGATTATGCCTTCATGAAATCCCAAAATCTGTCAAAGCTATTCGCTTCAGACTTGGTAAAGTTTTAAACAAGAATGCATTTCGAAAGGAGATATAGCACAACATTTCTTTCACTTAGTAGTGTCCCCTTTTTGTCCTTGAATTCCTTCGTTCTCTTATTATTCAGGTACATTTCTCAATAAAGTTACGTAGGTTTTCTTTTTAAACTTTGGTTACTTGTTCACTTCCAAACTTGAAAAGCATTTCGTAGAAGAAGATAATCTTAAAAGCCATTTTTGGTTAACTGTAAGCTTAGTTAATACCAATAAAATGTTGTACATGACTATTTTAGTACTGATTGAATGTAACGTGTAATGTAGAAAACATATAAATGTACACATAAAATAGTTATACTCGTTATGTTTCAATACAATTATTTAACATGTCTATGTATTCAACAGATTAACTGAGCTCTCTCGTAAATGACACAAATCATGTTAAAACAATTGAGCTGCGTTACGACAAAACCAACATAGTGAGTTTGCGACCAGCATGGATCCAGACCTGCTTGCGCATCCGCGCAGTCTGCTCAGGATCCATGCTGTTCGCTTACAAACCCTATAGCAATTAGAGAAACTGATAGCGAACAGCATGAATCCTGATCAGACTGCGCGGATGCGCAGGCTTGTCTAGATCCATGCTAGTCGCAAACCCATTATGTTGGTTTTGTCGTGACGCGGCCCAATTCTATTTCAAGTATTTCATGACAACAGTTACATTTCAGAAAATTAGAATAGTCCCTTCATCAGATTTCTTTTAATAATCCACTGATCTGTGGTGGCAGTTCAAGTTATTATTCTTAAATATCAAATTTGAAATGACTGACATTTCAGATAAGCAACATATACATGTTTAATGCAATCGTATTTTACTAAAAATCAGTGTCCGAGTATCCGTTGCCATACGAATCCGTGTAAGAATCTGAATAATTTTAAATAAAGCAATACAAAACTAATGTTACTTTCTTTGAGAATTTATGCAGACAAAACATTTGTTGACAAACGTTTAATTGTGTAAGATTTACGAATAACATTAAACTAGGACAATCACTAAAGATGTTTCATAACACTACTCGCAACATTTTTATTTGCAGACTAATAGTTTAAATATCTGTAGTTGACCTATATTTTATGATGTTTCATCTGTGTGCCAATAACAATTACAATTAATTGCTACTTGCACTTAAACAAACATTTGCTTCTTTAAGCAAAACAGAGATTTGAATACTTACATTCACTTCCCGAGTAACTATCAAACCATTCTGTGTAAGAGTCGTCATAATCGGAAGTATCTGACGGATTCATTCCTCCTAGAAGTTACAATTAATTAAAAAAAGCTAATACGTATAATGCTACATATATAGAAACAATCCTAAAGTTTTACTTGGACTGAAAAATCATCGACTGAATACAAATCAATGGAATATTATGTACTCGTTACATTTTTACATGTTTGAAAAGTTCTCCAAATTTCAATCTTGAATTTACATAAATGAGATTTGACAAATAAAGTTCTCTCCTAAACAGATTTCTTTCAATATGAGCACTCGATTTAAACATATTTATACATTTGAGTGACATTTCAATCTGGTTTATATTTAACAGAAATATGGAACCGACACAGTCTTCATGTTCAACTCATTGTGTATGTTTTTATTCTACAAGGTAACTTATTGATTATCAAATATCAATCCATTTAATAGTTTATAAACATAGTTAATGGAAATAAATACGCCTGGAATAAGTTTTATATATAAGTGCAATGATTTGCGTTTATTCTTTAACTATAATGTGATATTATATATTTTCTCTCAAATGTTCGTTTGAATTTCTATAACAGATAAAGTAACAATAGCAAGCATTACAATTCTTCGTATATTTGTTTCTGTACAAAAATTATTTGCGCATTAAATTTGGGTTTTATGAGAAGACTGATGAAACAAAGGATCATCTCGAAACTGTTTCAAAACTTTAATTCATTGCGCACTTAATTTTGATGACTTCCATAGTCGCTGACAATTATTAAATGGATGTTCAAAAATGGTTGCCTTAAATTCAGTTTTTGTAAATAATTGTGAAACACATGGCTTAAGACATAATAAAACAATAATACAGATAATAATAAACAAAAAATAAACAACAATAACAACAACGAGTATCTTAACAGTTAAATCTATGAACTTGCAAATTTTAAATGTACCTTCAACGGTAACCACTGCATTACTAAAGTTCACATGTGCGTTCAAACGTTCCTCTATTTGGTAAGTACTCGAAGGGTTGTCTTGTACACGACCAAATACGTCTGCATAGGTACTACCCTCACTGATCGAGAAAACAACAAAGCATGATACACGTATATATAAAAATATCTGTATTATGAAAAGTATAAAAATGTTCGGCGATAAAATGTCAAACATTTTGAATATACATCTGCATATATTTTAGAGGATCCATAACTGAACAAGTAGACTTCAGAACATTAAAATGTTTTATTATTTTCAAAAGACGTAATGCAAATATTCATCTGATCTGTTTAAATGAAATATCTTAATATGTCACTGAAGCTTGAATTGTGCAATTCAATCTGAAAAAGCAGGAACCAGTAGCGTGTTGTTCATTACAAAGAAGAATCATACAAAAAGGAAAGCAAAACTTATCAATATTTTTCAATACACCCAAGAAACGTGTTGTTTTATGTTGTAAGTTTACGTACATTCTGACTGGTTTAAGAGTATAAACCTCAAATAAGTTATCGGATAAAAAGAAATTTGGTATGATTTATTAAAGACATGTTCGCTTCGAATATAGATGTTATTATTTTATTTCTTCTTTTCACCAGTGGTATAAATTGCCACTTTATAAAGAGATAAACACATCCGATATACCTTGAAATATACAAATATCCATTACATTAAAAGAAAACGGCTTTGATGTTCATGCTTTTGCATCACTTAATTCCGTTCAAATAACTTTGATAACTTACTGAAATCCCATAATGTGTATATCCATCATCAAATCGCCAATAACCTCATAAAGCTGAAATGTAAACAAAAAAGGGAGTATGTATTAATAATAAAGTTTGGTATTTATGTTTGCAAGCAGTAATAAGTTGGAACAGACTGATGCAATTGCATGGTAGCCCGTAACATGTTGTTTATACCATCAACTCAAAATATGTTAACATTAACATGTGACACATTAGAGTTGTTCCATTGCAAGCCAGTTAAGTATTGAGCGACCTTTATATTAAAATGAGCAAACTTGGCAACGTGAAATGAACAGGAAGTTGTGCAGACTGCCTAATAAAGAAGGACACAATACTACGGCTTTCTATCAAAATTATACAAACATACAAACCAATATTTTCTGTATAATGTTCGCATGTCAATTAATATATTTACCTTTGCCTCAACAGTTTGTTTTAAATTTCCAGATTCTATCGTATTCGGATCACCCAACGCGATATTCCATGGAACCTGGGATAGCTGTACTGTTAAAGTAACATAAATGTCTGAAAATGAAAATTAATATTTTCATTATTCAATGTTCTTACGAATAAGTTGTTATCATGACCTTCTCTTGAAAGTCATAATTATTTTGTAACAATGTTTGTACATTATCTTTAATTATGCACTGTCTGTTATATTTTAAACATGAAGTTATTATAGGCTTATAAGTCCAATAGAACTTATCACTCAGCCTTTTGTGAAAGAAAAAAAACAACGTGAATCATTTTGTACAGGATTCTTTAAACAATGTATTTGCACAATTTTTGCGATTTTGTTTTAAAAATAAAACTTTATAAAAATAAATGAAGAAATGCTAATATCAAATAATATCAATGATTTTTTACTAATGAATACAACTTTGGTACATTTGTATTAAGGGACTATCATCATAAAGTGCGGTGTCATGACAAAACTAACATAATGTGTTTGCGACCAGCATGTATCCAGACCAGCCTGCGCATACGCGCAGTCTAATAAGGATCCATGCTGTTCGCTTGCATACTCTATAACAAGTAGAGAAACTGATAGCAAACAGCTGATCAGACTGCGCGGATGCGCAGGCTGGTCTGAATACATACTGGTCGCAAACGCATTATGTTCGTTTTGTCGTAACACGGCTCATATGTTTTTAACTTTTGACTGATTATTAAAAAGGTATTACCGAAAATAGGTATTTAAAGATGTTGACCACTTATATGAGTTTCGTTTCAGAACTTTTTTGTTATATCTTGTTAAAAATTCTTTTAAATAATGGTTATTTTATATAATAATGACAGCTTCTTTATTTTATCCTACTAGATTATTCTGTATTATTTGATTATGGACCAAGTAAGGCTAACATTCCCGGTAGATAGTACCACTAGAATACCTCTAACACGCATACATACGAGGTATGTATTATTAAGCTGTTAAACTACTATTATTTCAATAGATATCCTTTACTCAGAGTGTTGAACCGTCCATTCAAAGTTTGTGAAAATAAGGCAACCTGAAACTGATCTTTTAACATCCCACGTTGTAACCAGAATTAAAAAAACATTTTTTTTTAAAAACAGAATTCTTAAACTAAAGAGGAGGTAACTATTAGAAAAATTATGCTAGACGTATGTACATCGTCAAATATGATGTGAGTGGTGACAAGAAAGCAATTATCCTTAGTTTAAAGTTGATTCCTTTTATATATATAGGAACAAAGAAGAAAATAAAAGAAAATTATGACAATTTTAAAAAAGGAAAAAATCCAAATTCAAAATGAAAATGACCATGGACACCCTGGTGCAAGACTTATAAATCAAATCACATGAATAGTAGGAGTATATGATGGACATTGACTGAAATCTGAAGTAAATCCATGAACAAATAAGAAATTATTGAAAAAAGGGGAAAGTCTAAGTTTAGTGGGGAGATAATTTTGAAAATGCGGACGGTAAATCTATAAACCACGTCAAATTATTATAATGCGGAGTTTGAAATTTTAAGTAAACCATGTAAGAAAGGAAGAAAACATATTGATTTCTAGACAAAAAATATAAGGTCAAGGAAAACAGAATTTTGGAAATATAGTCAAGCTAGAGTATTGGATCTTCTCATACAAGATTCGATTGATAATTAGGAACAGATGCTTGAAGTTTGAAGCAGATATCTTTTACAAAATAGAAGGTTTAAAAAAACAAACAAAATTTTGTATGAAAATTCCAAGTTAAGGGATGATAAATCTAATAAGTATAGGTGTTAGAATTATGAACCGTTGTACATATGGGTGATGATAAAAACATATATTTAAAGTTTGAACTTGATACAAAAAGAAATAAAAAAAAAGTTAATATATAAAATAAAACTTTTTTTTTCATGAAAAGTTTGAGTTCATAGGGGTAAATCTAATAATTTTGGTGCTAGAGTTGTTAACCTTAATACTCATAATATCCATACTGTCATATATCCATACTTTTAAGGTTATAAAAATATTATCAGTACTTCTTCAGTTATAAATATTGTTATATTTGTCATATATGAGGTCTATCTGTTGCCATAGCAACCAAATTTTTCAAAATAAGAAGAGACATAAGATGAATAATGATAATGACAATACTTTTGTAAACAAGTGATTGATAGCTGCCCGCGGACATTTAGAAATCCAGTATCCATTATTTTCATTCAGAACACTTGTTTAATGAATTGTGAATATAATAACTTTTAAATGTATATGTACATGTATGCCATTTATGAAAATATATATACATGAAGTGCATATAAAGACGAAAATTTCATAATTCTACGCAATCTTAAGTATCCTTTATAATAAAAAATAAAACAGAACGTCAAACTCACAGTCACTTTCATCCATATAATAGTCTGACGAATCTTCAAAACTGTCCATATAGTCGCTGGTACTCGTTGGATGAATTCCAGCTAAATTAAATAAAAAGTGAAACTTATTTCGTTATTTTGTGCATTATTGTTTTTGATTTTGCAGAAGACAAAAATCAACACACAACAGTATTCTTTGTCAGTGTCTACAAAGAAGCTTTTAATATTCTTGTTACGGAAGTGTTTATCAGCATTGGTACATATCAGAGTATGCATTTCATAGGGCGTCCATGGCCGAGTACTTATTGTCTTTGACTTTGTCTGCCTCTCACCGCTGTAGGTTCGCGAACCACGCTAGCGTGTTTAAAGTCTCTGTGATAGGTTCACCAAAAACTTACTATATCTCTTTCTTTTCACGACCATTTAATGATTTTAGTATTCATCATATGATCTGTTGTAATTGCAATATATACCTCAAATAAACAGATAACATACGTTTAAGTAAAATTAACAACGAGAGTGCTTATTATTCATTATGAAACATGCAAAGAAACAATTTGTTTCAGTGAAAACCTGACATGTTTATCGTTGTTAAAGTACACCGTTACCATAGGGCAGATAATGTTTAAAATATTTTGTGCAAGGTAATGTCCCTTTTTCTCAGACGCTATCATATGTTTTCACTTGAGTATATAAATCCTTACATTTAAAATGTCACCGTTTGGGAGAGGCAGTTAATACTAAGTTCATTTTGATTATGCCTTCATGAAATCTCAAAATCTACCAAAGCTATTCGCTTCAGACTTGGAAAGGTTTTAAACTAGAATGCATTTCGAAAGGAAATATAACACAACATTTCTTTCACTCAGTATTGTCCCCTTTTTGTCCTTGAATTCCTTAGTTTTCTACTTATTCATTCTTAATAAAGTAACATATGTATTCCTTTTAAACTTTGGGTACTTGTTCACTTCCAAACTTGAAGTCATTTCGTAGAAGAAGATAATCTTAAAAGCCAATTTTGGTTAAGTGTAAGCTTAGTTAATACCAATAAAATGTTGTACATGACTATTTAAGTACTGATTGAATGCAACGTGTTATGAAGAAAACATATAAATGTACATATAAAATAGTTATACTAGTTATGTTTCAATACAATTATTTTACATATCTATGTATTCAACAGATTAACTGAAATCTCTCGTAAATGACACAAATTATGTTAAAACAATTGAGCCGCGTTACGACAAAACAAACATAGTGAGTTTGCGACCAGCATGGATCCAGACCAGCTTGCGCATCCGCGCAGTCTGCTCAGGATCCATGCTGTTCGCTTACAAACCCTATAGCAATTAGAGAAACTGATAGCGAACAGCATGAATCCTGATCAGACTGCGCGGATGCGCAGGCTTGTCTGGATCCATGCTAGTCGCAAACCCATTATGTTGGTTTTGTCGTGACGCGGCTCAATTCTATTTCAAGTATTTCATGACAACAGTTACATTTCAGAAAATTAGAATAGTCCCTTCATCAAATTTCTTTTAATTATCAACTGATCTGTGTAATTATAATGATTTTTGATTTCTTAAAGATCAAATTTGAAATGACTGACATTTAAGATAAGCAACATCTACATGTTTAATGCAATCGTATTTTACTAAAAATCAGTGTCCGAGTATCCGTTGCCATACGAATCCGTGTAAGAATCTGAATAATCTTAAATAAAGCAATACAAAACTAATATTACTTGCTTTGGGAATTTATGCAGAAAAAAACATTTGTAGACAAACGTTAATTTGTGTTAGATTTACGAATAACATTAAACCAGGACAATCACTAAAGATGTTTCATACCACTACTCGCAACATTTTTATTTGGAGACTAATGGTTTAAATATCTGTAGTTGACCTATATTTTATGATGCTTCATCTGTGTGACAATAACAATTTCAATTAATTGCCACTTGTACTTAAACAAACATTTGCTTCTTTAAGCAAAACAGAGATTTGAATACTTACATTCACTTCCCGAGTAACTATCAAACCATTCTGTGTAAGAGTCGTCATAATCGGAAGTATCTGACGGATTCATCCCTCCTAAAAGTTACAATTAAAATAAACGTGCTAATACGTGAAATGTTACATATATAGAAACAATCCTAAAGTTTTACTTGGACTGAAAAATCATCGACTGAATATAAATCAATGGAATATTATGTGCTCGTTACATTTTCACATGTTTGAAAAGTTCTCCAAATTTCAATCTTGAATTTACATAAATGAGATTTGACAAATAAAGTTCTCTCCTAAATAGATTTCTTTCAAAATGACCACTCGATTTAAACATATTTATACATTTGAGTGACATTTCAATCTGGTTTATATTTAACAGAAATATGGAACCGACACAGTCTTCATGTTCAACTCATTGTGTATGTTTTTGTTCTACAAGGTAACTTATTGATTATCAAATATCATTCCATTTAATAGTTTATAAACATCGTAAATGGAAATAAATACGCCTGGAATAAGTTTTATATATAAGTGCAATGATTTGCGTTTATTCTTTAACTATAATGTGATATTATATATTTTCTCTCAAATGTTCGTTTGAATTTCTATAACAGATAAAGTAACAATAGCAAGCATTACAATTCTTCGTATATTTGTTTCTGTACAAAAATTATTTGCGCATTAAATTTGGGTTTTATGAGAAGACTGATGAAACAAAGGATCATCTCGAAACTGTTTCAAAACTTTAATTCATTGCGCACTTAATTTTGATGACTTCCATAGTCGCTGACAATTATTAAATGGATGTTCAAAAATGGTTGCCTTAAATTCAGTTTTTGTAAATAATTGTGAAACACATGGCTTAAGACATAATAAAACAATAATACAGATAATAATAAACAAAAAATAAACAACAATAACAACAACGAGTATCTTAACAGTTAAATCTATGAACTTGCAAATTTTAAATGTACCTTCAACGGTAACCACTGCATTACTAAAGTTCACATGTGCGTTCAAACGTTCCTCTATTTGGTAAGTACTCGAAGGGTTGTCTTGTACACGACCAAATACGTCTGCATAGGTACTACCCTCACTGATCGAGAAAACAACAAAGCATGATACACGTATATATAAAAATATCTGTATTATGAAAAGTATAAAAATGTTCGGCGATAAAATGTCAAACATTTTGAATATACATCTGCATATATTTTAGAGGATCCATAACTGAACAAGTAGACTTCAGAACATTAAAATGTTTTATTATTTTCAAAAGACGTAATGCAAATATTCATCTGATCTGTTTAAATGAAATATCTTAATATGTCACTGAAGCTTGAATTGTGCAATTCAATCTGAAAAAGCAGGAACCAGTAGCGTGTTGTTCATTACAAAGAAGAATCATACAAAAAGGAAAGCAAAACTTATCAATATTTTTCAATACACCCAAGAAACGTGTTGTTTTATGTTGTAAGTTTACGTACATTCTGACGGGTTTAAGAGTATAAACCTCAAATAAGTTATCGGATAAAAAGAAATTTGGTATGATTTATTAAAGACATGTTCGCTTCGAATATAGATGTTATTATTTTATTTCTTCTTTTCATCAGTGGTATAAATTGCCACTTTATAAAGAGATAAACACATCCGATATACCTTGAAATATACAAATATCCATTACATTAAAAGAAAACGGCTTTGATGTTCATGCTTTTGCATCACTTAATTCCGTTCAAATAACTTTGATAACTTACTGAAATCCCATAATGTGTATATCCATCATCAAATCGCCAATAACCTCATAAAGCTGAAATGTAAACAAAAAAGGGAGTATGTATTAATAATAAAGTTTGGTATTTATGTTTGCAAGCAGTAATAAGTTGGAACAGACTGATGCAATTGCATGGTAGCCCGTAACATGTTGTTTATACCATCAACTCAAAATATGTTAACATTAACATGTGACACATTAGAGTTGTTCCATTGCAAGCCAGTTAAGTATTGAGCGACCTTTATATTAAAATGAGCAAACTTGGCAACGTGAAATGAACAGGAAGTTGTGCAGACTGCCTAATAAAGAAGGACACAATACTACGGCTTTCTATCAAAATTATACAAACATACAAACCAATATTTTCTGTATAATGTTCGCATGTCAATTAATATATTTACCTTTGCCTCAACAGTTTGTTTTAAATTTCCAGATTCTATCGTATTCGGATCACCCAACGCGATATTCCATGGAACCTGGGATAGCTGTACTGTTAAAGTAACATAAATGTCTGAAAATGAAAATTAATATTTTCATTATTCAATGTTCTTACGAATAAGTTGTTATCATGACCTTCTCTTGAAAGTCATAATTATTTTGTAACAATGTTTGTACATTATCGTTAATTGTCTGTTATATTTTAAACATGAAGTTATTATAGGCTTATAAGTCCAATAGAACTTATCACTCAGCCTTTTGTGAAAGAAAAAAAAACAACGTGAATCATTTTGTACAGGATTCTTTAAACAATGTATTTGCACAATTTTTGCGATTTTGTTTTAAAAATAAAACTTTATAAAAATAAATGAAGAAATGCTAATATCAAATAATATCAATGATTTTTTACTAATGAATACATCTTTGGTACATTTGTATTAAGGGACTATCATCATAAAGTGCGGTGTCATGACAAAACTAACATAATGTATTTGCGACCAGCATATATCCAGACCAGCCTGCGCATACGCGCAGTCTAATAAGGATCCATGCTGTTCGCTTGCATACTCTATAAACAAGTAGAGAAACTGATAGCAAACAGCTGATCAGACTGCGCGGATGCGCAGGCTGGTCTGAATACATACTGGTCGCAAACGCATTATGTTCGTTTTTTGTCGTAACACGGCTCATATGTTTTTAACTTTTGACTGATTATTAAAAAGTATTACCGATAAATAGGTATTTAAAGATGTTGACCACTTATATGAGTTTTCGTTTCAGAACTTTTTTATTATATCTTGTTAAAAATTCTTTTAAATAATGGTTATTTTATATAATAATGACAGCTTCTTTATTTTATCCTACTAGATTATTCTGTATTATTTGATTATGGACCAAGTAAGGCTAACATTCCCGGTAGATAGTACCACTAGAATACTCTAACACGCATACATACGAGGTATGTATTATTAAGCTGTTAAACTACTATTATTTCAATAGATATCCTTTACTCAAAGTGTTGAACCGTCCATTCAAAGTTTGTGAAAATTAGGCAACCTGAAACTGATCTTTTAACATCCCACGTTGTAACCAGAATTAAAAAAACATTTTTTTTTTAAAAACAGAATTCTTAAACTAAAGAGGAGGTAACTATTAGAAAAAATTATGCTAGACGTATGTACATCGTCAAATATGATGTGAGTGGTGACAAGAAAGCAATTATCCTTAGTTTTAAAGTTGATTCCTTTTATATATATAGGAACAAAGAAGAAAATAAAAGAAAATTATGACAATTTTAAAAAAGGAAAAAAAACAAATTCAAAATGAAAATGACCATGGACACCCTGGTGCAAGACTTATAAATCAAATCACATGAATAGTAGGAGTATATGAATGGACATTGACTGAAATCTGAAGTAAATCCATGAACAAATAAGAAATTATTGAAAAAGGGGAAAGTCTAAGTTTAGTGGGGAGATAATTTTGAAAATGCGGACGGTAAATCTATAAACCACGTCAAATTATTATAATGCGGAGTTTGAAATTTTAAGTAAACCATGTAAGAAAGGAAGAAAACATATTGATTTCTAGACAAAAAATATAAGGTCAAGGAAAACAGAATTTTGGAAATTAAGTCAAGCTAGAGTATTGGATCTTCTCATACAAGATTCGATTGATAATTAGGAACAGATGCCTGAAGTTTGAAGCAGATATCTTTTACAAAATAGAAGGTTTAAAAAAACAAACAAAATTTTGTATGAAAAATTCCAAGTTAAGGGATGATAAATCTAATAAGTATAGGTGTTAGAATTATGAAACCGTTGTACATATGGGTGATGATAAAAAACATATATTTAAAGTTTGAACTTGATACAAAAAGAAATAAAAAAAAAAGTTAATATATAAAAATAAAACTTTTTTTTTCATGAAAAGTTTGAGTTCATAGGGTAAATCTAATAATTTTGGTGCTAGAGTTGTTAACCTTAATACTCATAATATCCATACTGTCATATATCCATACTTTTAAGGTTATAAAAATATTATCAGTACTTCTTCAGTTATAAATATTGTTATATTTGTCATATATGAGGTCTATCTGTTGCCATAGCAACCAAATTTTTCAAAATAAGAAGAGACATAAGATGAATAATGATAATGACAATACTTCTGTAAACAAGTGATTGAGAGCTGCCCGCCGACTTTTAGAAATCCAGTATCTATTATTTTCATTCAGAACACATGTGTAACGAATTGTGCATATAATAACTTTTCAATTTATATGTACATGTATGCCATTTATGAAAATATATATACATCAAGTGCATATAAAGAACAAAAAATTCATAATTCTTCGCAATCTTAAGTATCTTTTAAAATAAAGAATAAAACAGGACGTCAAACTCACAGTCACTTTCATCCATATAATAGTCTGACGAATCTTCAAAACTGTCCATATAGTCGCTGGTACTCGTTGGGTGAATTCCAGCTAAATTAAATAAAAAGTGAAACTTATTTCGTTATTTTGTGCATTATTGTTTTTGATTTTGCAGAAGACAAAAATCAACACACAACAGTATTCTTTGTCAGTGTCTACAAAGAAGCTTTTAATATTCTTGTTACGGAAGTGTTTATCATTGGTACATATCAGAGTATGCATTTCATAGGGCGTCCTCCATGGCCGAGTACTTATTGTGTTTGACTTTAAACAACATGCCTCTCACCGTTGTAGGTTTGAGCCACGCTAGCGTGTTTAAAGTCTCTGTGACTGGTTCACCAAACACTTACTATATCTCTTTCTTTTCACGACCATTTAATGATTTTAGTACTCATCATATGATCTGTTATAATTGCAATATATACCTCAAATAAACAGATACTTTTAAGTAATATTTACAACGAGAGTGCCTATCATTCATTATGAAACATGCAAAGAAACAATTTGTGTCAGTGAAAACCTGACATGTTTATCGTTATAAAAGCACACCGTTACCAAAGGGCAGATAATGATTAAAATATTTTGTGCAAGGTAATGTCCCTTTTTCTCAGAAGCTATCACATGTTTTCACTTGAGTATATAAATCCTTACATTTAAAATGTCACCGTTTGGGAGAGGCAGTTAATACTAAAGTTCATTTTGTTTATGCCTTCATGAAATCCCAAAATCTACCAAAGCTATTCGCTTCAGACTTGGAAAGGTTTTTAACTAGAATGCATTTCGAAAGGAGATATAACACAACATTTCTTTCACTCAGTATTGTCCCCTTTTTGTCCTTGAATTCCTTTGTTCTCTACTTATTCAGGTACATTTCTCAATAAAGTAACATATGTATTCCTTTTAAACTTTGGGTACTTGTTCACTTCCAAACTTGACACGCATTTCGTAGAAGATAATCTTAAAAGCCATTTTTGGTTAACTGTAAGCTTAGTTAATACCAATAAGTTGTTGTACATGACTATTTAAGTACTGATTGAACGTAACGTGTTATGTAGAAAACATATAAATGTACACATAAAATATTTATACTCGTTATGTTTCAAAATAGATAAATACAGAATCCCTAAAGAAAGCCCAACACAATTATTTTACATGTTTATGTATTCAACAATAATAGAATATTCCGTTCATCAAGTTTCTTTTAATTATCAACTGGTCTGTGGTGGCAGTTCAAGTTATTATAATGATTCAGATTTCTAAAGGATCAAATTTAAAATGACTGACATTTAAGATAAGCAACATCTACATGTTTAATGCATTTGTATTTTACTAAAAATCAGTGTCCGAGTATCCGTTGCCATATGAATCTGTGTAAGAATCTGAATAATCTTAAATAAAGCAATACAAAACTAATGTTACTTGCTTTGAGAATTTATGAAGAAAAAATATTTGTAGACAAAAGTTTAATTGTGTAAGATTAACGAATAACAGAACATTTATAACATTAAACTAGGACAATCACTAAAGATGTGTCATACCATTACTCGCAACAGTTTTATTTGCAGACTTATTGTTTAAATATATGTAGTTGACCTATATTGTATGATGTTTCATCTGTGTGCCAATAACAATTACAATTAATTGCCACTTGCACTTAAACAAACATTTGCTTCTTTAAGCAAAACAGAGATTTGAATACTTACATTCACTTCCAGAGTAACTATCAAACCATTCTGTGTTAGAGTCGTCATAATCAGAAGTATCTGACGGATTCATTCCTCCTAAAAGTTACAATGAAATAAACATGCTAATACGTGTAATGTTACATTTATAGAAACAATCCTAGATTTTTTACTTGGACTAAGAAATCATCGACTGAATACAAAGCAATGGATATTATGTGCTCGTTACATTTTTACATGTTTGAAAAGTTCTCCAAATTTCAATCTTGAATTTAAATTTATGAGATTTGACAAATAAAGTTCTCTCCTAAATAGATTTCTTTCAAAATGAGCACTCGATTTAAACATATTGATCACATTTGAGTGACATTTCAATCTGGTTTATATTTAACAGAAATATGGAACCGACACAGTCTTCATGTTCAACTCGATGTGTATGTTTCCTCTACTGATTATCAAATATCATTCCATTTAATAGTTTATAAACATAGTAAATGAAAAAAAATACGCCTGAAATAAGTTTTATATACAAATGCAATAATTAAGAAAATGTGTTTATTCTTCAACTATAATGTGATACTATATATTTTCTATCTAATGTTCGTTTGAATTTCTATAACAGATAAAGCATTATAATTCTTCGTATATTTGTTTCTGTACAAACATTATTTGTGCATTAAATTTGGGTTTTATGTGAAGACTGATGAAACAAAGGATCATCTCGAAAATGTTTCAAATTTTCCATTCATTGTGTTTTTATGTTTTTATGATCATTTTATTAACATGTCATTTATAACGGCAATTAAAGAAGAATAATGACGTAAATTTATTTGAAACCAATTCTAAATATAATGTTAGTAGAAACATACATGAAGACATGTACATGTATATTATGCTTTCATAGAATAGAATAGAATAGGGAAAAAAACAGAATGAATCATGGGCCTTTATATGCATATTATCACATAATAATGATATTGTACAAGATGTACAAAACATATTAACATACCTAAAGTTTAATTACGATTAGCAAACACAATTAAGGAAAGCTTTTGCTACAATCAAACAACTAAAGCATATTACTAGTAAATGACAAATTTGAATAAAGATGATGAATTTACAGATCTGTTATAAACCTATGAAATGTCACCCTTACGATCTAATAAATAGAGAGGGATACTTTACCAACAATTGCTATTTTTAGCAATCAGTTCTCGTTTTATTTTAACTTGTCAAAGTTTTGCTCTAACTTTAGTTTAAACATAATAATTCCCCGAATATACTCATATGGGTATGTACATACGGAAGCTGATCAGGGCGGTATATACATTTACAATACAAATCACACGTTCTTGTATTTACGGAAAGGATTAGAATGAAAAACTAAGTCTTACAAAATTATAATTGTAAAAACACTTTCTGAAAATGAATTAAATAAAGTTATTGTATAAATTTTCAATTGTGCACGGATTTTTTTTTTGACGTTCACATAAAATAAACAGAAATAAAACCTAAAAAATGTTTCATAAAATTATGTTCAATTCATAATATAGTTTCTCTACAACGCACCTGTTGGTATTATTTTTTATTCAATCCGATATTCTTTACAATTACCACCTGAATAAGTTTAATTTAATTATAACTACATGTATAATTACTTGCTTTTTTGTTATTAAATACAAATAATATCATATATTGCGCATCAAATGTATATCTGGAATTTTATATTTACAGATAAACTAACAATAGATTTCATCACAAAACTTTGTATATTTGTTCATTTCATAAAAAGTGCACTTTCAGTTTAGGATTTTATGTGCAGATAAATAAAATGAAGTGAATGAAGTACCATCTAAAATGTTCCAAACACTTCGTAAATGTAACGAACTGTAGCTCATTGTACACCATATTTCTTTTATAAATTTCTATAAACGGTTGCATAATCGTGGGCATTGTTCAGAAGAATGTGACCATAAATTTACCAATAGTAACAATAATAATAATAAAACCCGACAATAATAATGATAATAATAGTAAAGACAACAACAACATAAAGACAGATAATAACAGTTGAGTCTATGTAGTTACCAAATTTTAAATTTACCTTCAACAGTGATATTAACATTGCTGAAGTACCCGTCCGCTTTCAAACCTTCCTCTACTTCAATAACTCTCCCGGGTGTGTCCGGTGCTTGGACTAAGCCTTCTACATAAGTACTTCCAGGACTGAGCGAGAAAACAAAATAACGTTAAACACATACATGTAATTATATATAAAATATAAGAAGCATGACAAAATTTAATCTTCATACTTATAGCATATAAAACTTAAGGGACCAAATTACTATCGGATAGTAAAAGAGCTTTCCTGTATACCAGACTTGTATAATGAAACTGTGTTCCCAGAATGACGTAATTTCGCCATTATGAGTTAAGTTGAAAGTCAGCGCTATGGTTAGAAATAGAAAAACATGAAATAAAGTTAACTATCTGAGATATGATAGAATATGGTGAAATATGGAAGAAATAAATAAATATCAAGAATGTGTTTGCGTTCCAGATCTGAATAGTCTTATCTCGGGTACTCCCAAGGGGCGGCAACTTGCCTCGTACAGCCCAATGAACGAGTACCCTCCGTGCGGATTGTCCGATCAAATTGCAACACATGAAGTGTTAGAAAGAAAAATCTGGAAACAAAGTGATCCCTCGGAAGCATTAATCACAACAAAATAACATAAGAATTGCAGACTCGGTTTGATTGAGTCTGTACATGAGGGATAATGAATAAGTGCAACATCCCTAACGCCCCCCCTAGCACCGGCTTGAGCGGTACTCAATTCTAAAACACTTTTGGCTGGCATCAATGATCCAAAGGGACCAGAAAAAATAACAACACTGAAGTGAAGTACGGGGCAACTTTTTACGGCTGCCACACGGCACTTGACACCTGCTGTTGTGAAGTACAAAATTCTGGAAACAAAGTGATCCCTCGGAAGCATTTATCACAACAAAATAACATAAGAATTGCAGACTCGGTTTCATTAAGTCTGTACATGTCAGAAATCTGAAATGTTGCAATAGGTTCTTCAGCGCAAAACAGACTGAGAAGAATATTTCAAATCAATGAATGAAGTATTACTTTAATATTGTTTTTTTTTTTTAAATTATTACATTAAATGTACTTAAATATATGATTGAAACATCAGTCACATTTAATTATTATCATTCACTTTTTTCGTAATGTTAATTTTCCATAGGCCTCTGGGATTTATCCTTATTGTTAATGCAAGTGAACCACGTGACTATGAAATTTGGTCACGTGGTCTATTTTCAACCCAAAATAAAAGGGCCGCCATTTTTTTCTCGATTCATTCTTATTTTCGAAGTTCTTTAGAGTAACTATGACATCCATACAATTTAGTTGTTTGCACCCTTGATTGCTTTCCACGTTTAAAATATATTTTTGTTGAATAGTAAGAAAGGCAAAAAGTAATCATCCGTTTTCATCGGAAATAATTGCAACGGGAATAACAATGTGTCAAATTGGAACAAGCAGACGATTAAAGCATGCATTCTCTTGATTTTTTTTACAGTTAGATTTAGTTGGCAATTTCAGCAATTTCAGACCATCACCATCACAGTTTTTGTTCGGGGTAATAAATTACATAACACGTGGATTTGTTAGTTACAGAAAAAAAACATCCCTCGTAAAAATAATGTTACCCGAAGCGTTATATTTCCTCGGAATAATTTAAATTCTGTTTTCCATAAACCCATGTGTTATTAATATACTGATTAAAAATGAGTAAACTTCTAAAAACAGGTTTTTTCTACACATAGTTTTAGAAAGCACAACAAAGTATATTTGCAAGACGTCATTTATTATGTCACCTGTTGTTAATGTGTTTACTATCTATATGTTATAAGTACATAAACTGAATAATACGAATTTGGGTAATAAAAACACAAATTTAAAACAGTATAAAACATATGCTATAACAAGCATATACAAATTTTCACAAGCGGTAAAAGGTTCCACATTCTAAAGAAATACATATTTGTATAATCCGTATATCTTAAATTTGCAAATATCCTCACATATCAAAAGTGCGCTGTTTAAAATGCAATGCTTCAGTTCATCAGCATTTAAGAAATATAATAACTTACAAGAATCTAGTAATATATATTTCCATCACTAAATTGCCAATCGCTCCACCAAGCTGAAATGTTTAAACATTGGTTAGAAAAAGACATGGATTGGGATTCATTTTAGCTACCAGCGATAAAATTAAATACTTATATCGAGCATATTTATGTCAGGCTGATTATGCAAAAAGATTATTTTACATACTTTGTTTTATTTTTAGTGGAATTTGTCGAATTTTTTTATAATCATTAAACGGATAACTAAAATACAATAGTTCTCACACCTTGCACAAGATTGAGCAAAACTTTTCATCTTTAAAAGAAAGCATAGGAAAAAAATGACACCAATGTACAAGAGACAAGAAGTATCTTTAAAAAATATATTTGGCTGAGGTTAATGTAAATGTTTTACTTGCTATCAACACTTCAGAGTTTTGTTTGAATGAAATACTATTATCGATGAAATAATAACTTTTATTTCTTGTGCCAATGCAAAGTTGTGATCACATACAGTTATACATGGCTCTCAGAAGTGTTAGACCAACAAATTGTACTACGAGTTGATAAATTGTTCATTTTATGTATTTCCCCCTCTATGACGTAAAAGCAGTATTCTGAGTCAGAATAAGTGCGTTAGGACATGATGATGGCCTATCACAGAGATATTTTATTTGATCTCTGAAACCAAACAGGTTCCATGAAGAAAACAAGAATTTATATCTTGTTTATAGTAACCGAAATAAGCATAGTAACCTTTGCCAGAACAGTTTGTTCTAATTCTTGATATTCTTGCGTTAGGGGATCGCCTAATTCGTTTACCCATAGAACATCTGGAAGCTGCGCGGTAAAAAATATATAAACGTCTGAAAATAAAAATATAACGTTGTTAGCTTAAAAAGCACTGGTAAAAAAAAATGCACTGTTGAGAAAACACGATTGGATAGAACATATACGTGAATCGTGTTGTACAAAATTACAACAATTACAAATTTGGACCTGCTCCAAAAACGGAAAAAATAACTCAAATATTACAAATAAATATACACAATCGATATTGTTCGACTTAACATGCTACCAAAATACATGTTTGTGACACCTGAATAAAAGAACACAAGAATTTTCTTTCGTTTAAAGGTTACTTCATGTGAACAACCTTGCAATAAAATAGAATAAAATAGAATGAAGTTAAAAATTTAAGCATGACACGCACTTTTCTCTATTAACATGGAAGATCCTAATGTTATTTTTGTTGAATATCTATGTTTCGACATTTGACAAAACCATTAAAAATACGATGCACTGAAAAAATTTCGGACACAAATAAGGCACAATTTAGTTTGATATTATTTACTGCAGCTTTTATTTGTTGATTCGGTCATGTCAGAGTTAAGATAATATATCCACAGCAGTGATTTAATGGCTTAATAAAATAATTCTCGTGATATAATTCCGAAATCTTATGTAGTGATAAAATCACTGTTTTTGGATACATCATTTATTTAGTACTAGTAACTAACGCTTGAAATCAAGATATGTGTTAGCAATTTGTTGATTTATAGTGCATCTGTTTTTGAATAGCATATAGATAGATCGTATACAGATATATGTGGACATTGAATGGTTATTACTTAATGCACGAAACAATAAATAATATATCCTTTATATAAAGTTATACATGTAATAATATCATTGTAATTTAAGTGATGACGCATGCATGTACTATATTCTATATCTCGTTACCTTGCATTTCACCGCTGTCATACATAGTAGATGAGCCGTAATCGTATGTCTGTGAGGGGTCGATATCTGAAATTATCATTTTTTTCAGAGACAATAAGACAACTTCTAGCCGATGCAACTCCTGCAACCTGCAAACTTGTTACGTCAATATACAATGTAACACATAAAATGATAATAACTTTTTTTTTGATAATAAAACTACTAGACGCACTTAATTCAAGGCTGTGTCAGGTTGTTATCACTTTTATTCCATTAGTTTATTGTATAAATACGGAAAGACAAATGCATGTCATATTCTTTTTATCGCATAAACCGAATGTGTCTTTAGAAATGTTAAAAACATTTTATAGCTGTACTCGGCCACATAAATACTTATTGAATGATAGAAAGTTATTAGGAAAAATAAATTAGCAAATGAAATAACTTTTCTCGTTGTATTCTTATTGTTTCATTTTGGTTTGTCTATTTACTTGATTGATTCACTCAACACCATGTTTCCAAATTAAATATCGTCTCGTGTACACTTATTTTCTAACAAAACTCAAAATAAAGACTTGAAATGTGCCGTGTCCTTAAATTTGATTGAGGTATTACAAAACTAACTGCACTATGATGGTATAACAATCAGGGTACAGTGGTGACGTCACAAACATACATCATTATCAGATGACCATTATGTTGTGTTATTATGGCCGCTCAAATATAGAAAAAGTGTCTCAATGTTGTCTAATACAAGTTGCAGCAGATAAATGAACATTGTTCGAACTAAACTTTAACTAATTTCGCATGTCCCTATGGCTGACAGCATCTAACATTCCTTAAATTTATTTGAGAGCCAAACTGACCATCCGACTAAACATCTCCATTCTCCCAGACAAAAACAGCATCTAGAGTGTCAATTTCAAACTAACAAAACAAGATACTATCCGTGGCAAACAGATCTGAACAATAAGCATTAAGCTGTCTTTAATGCCCATTTACAAACATACTATGTCTTAATAGGACACAAAGGACGTGGCATAATTACTACCCGAACCAAGGCCAAGTCAATATCAAATAAAGAGTATCCAAAACTAAACAGTAAACAATGACTAGGAAAAAAGTTTATCACGGGTACAAACAACAACTACATTATGTCTTGAAGATATGAACATTAAGAGGAGCAGACACTGACAAAAACAACATCAAACAGCCGACTATTTTTAAAAAAAATAAGAACTCCCCCCTGATGTGTACAGATGATGATTTGGCGATGAAGATATTAATAACTTATGTATAAAACACATGTCTCTTCGCTGCAAGCTCGAGCCACTTAATATATCAAAATTATTTCAAATTTAGATAAAGACCACAAAAGTCAAAGTCTCTCACCGATATATGAGTATATACAGAAACAATTTAAAATATGTAACAAAATTGACTTTATACAAATCTTTCAACTAAATTCATTTTAAACTATTGCAAATAGTTTTTATTTTCAAAAATTATTTTTTGTCTGCACAGGAAGATGTTGTGTCTGCATTTGTCTCAATATTTTTCCAAAATATGTTCGGCATTGTCATACAAACACATATACATTGTAACTCGAATCTGTACAACAAACCAGTATAAAATAAGTATCACAATTCAGTAAAAACGCATTAAGAAAGATATTGTGATATTATGATTTTTAAATATCAGGAAAATATTTCATGATATGTAGCTTCATACCCTATAAGTTTGAAAATGACACATAAAATTGACTCGCTACCCTGTGTAACTGAACCCCCTTTTTATCAGAGTTCTGATAACCTCAGGATTTTAGGCTGATTTTGCACGTGTGTGTACATGATGATTTTCATATAGTACCTTAACGTTTTATTAAGAATTTTGCTTTCTCTAATCATAACTATGAGAATAAAATACCAATTAATGTATATTAGTTTGTGATTTTGCTAAATTCAAGGTCACAGAGTGAACCTTTCATTATTTGACAGAACCCTACCCTTCCTGGTTGACTAAGCATGGAAAAAATGGCCCAGACTCACTTATCTTGATTATAAACAGTTTTGCTTCGTGTAATAACCGTTATTAAAATAATGACACCTATTACCACATTAGTTAGATTTCTCAGGAGACTGAACGTTCTTCACCTTCAAACAGCGCCGTTAGAGGTCATTATTTATTTGTGCCCACAAGGTAGGCCGTATAGCGTAACAAAGGCGATATTTCTAATTATATGTCTGTCATGCTGTGTCCCCCCTGCTCATTGCATACTCCTTTACGTTAAACATATAATGATGTAATCGTAAACCTTATTTTCACATGATTTTCAACATAAATTGATGCATAAGTATTGAAAATGTTTGTCCGTTTGTCTATACACTAATGAAAATTTGTGACGTCACAGTATAAACAATAAAAAATGGGATTTAACTCACTACAGTGTTGGAGCATAGCAGAAATCGGCATTTCGCTAGATTTTTAGCATTTAATCATTCAAGCGCCTTGTCTGGAATAAAGCTTTTCGTGTCGTGCTCCAATACTTCTTCTAAGTCTCACTCATAAACATGTACGTGTATTATCTTTGTGTTATTTTGGTATTATTAGTGTAATATAATGTATTCAAATTTACAACGTATATATATATAGATCTGAACTGACAGTAACTTATCAAAGGCTTTGAAATCCACTAGATACTAGTTATTTAACTGTTATGCGTTGATTATTTTTTCTGTGATTTAAGTGAAAACATTACCTTTGTAACTTTGGTGACAGTATTATTATTTTTATTGTTATTCCCATCCTTACATAGAATGGGATATGAAATTCGATTTAGGTTGAATTGACACTGCGCATGAATATGCAAATAAATACTTATGTTTATATATAAAATGGCTTGACAAAACTAGTGCGCCGTGTTTTATGTGATAAAGTCGATTATGGCATGACGTTTTTGAATTGACAATTTCGTTAACGCCGTAATTCGTTTAATACAATATTCATCAATAAAATGCCTGACAGATAAATATGTACATGTTATAACGGCATTAATATAAGTTTAAGTTTGACAAAATAACTTATTTTGTTGGTATATCTATACATAATTATTCCTTCTATAAATACCTTTCACGGGAATCACTATAAAAAACATATATTTATGTTATAATTAGTTATTAAGGCTTTAAATCGATTCGAGACATCAAATTTGCATCATGTCATATGTTAAAAGAAATAGGTAGCAAAGTTGACAAACCTAATAATGTAATGTAAGCTTCAATAAAAAGATCTAATTCAAGCAGCATTTGTTCCAAAGATACTTGATCTGTATTGTCCATCACACCATAAAGGTAAGCTACGACGTTGCCATTTCCGTTTCTAGAATATAGTTTAGAAAAAAAGTTACCTCAACAAAATACAACTTTATACACAATCGTGCTACATATTTACATATAATCAAATCATCAATGTATTTGAAAAGTTGCTGAAAATAGGCTTAAGGTATGAAATGTTTAACCGTTATTGGGGAAATATAAAACATTTTCAATGAAAAATATTTTTAAAAAATCCTTTTAAATAAATAAAAGAATACAATAATCAAACACAGATTTTCGTTTTTTACACTGAAATGTTAAAAACTATAATATACTTCAAAACATACATATATAATCTTGTCTGTCACAATAAATATGCATATATTATAGCAAAACATTCACTCACTCAAAATATGTTACATCTATAGACACTATAACACTGCCCAAATTGCTGTTGATCTACAACATGAAATACATTTGAAATGTTAATGAACTTAAATGTTGCAGATGTTTATCTTTTAAGTTATAAAGATTTGTAACAGGTCGTATGCCCCTATTTAAACGATACTTCGGATTTATTACCCGAGCCGCTACTATTATCAAAAGAAAAGCGACTTTACAAACGTGCAGTATTTCAAAATATGGCGTGCATATGGGTATTCGGAAAATTCTATTTTTATTAAAATAGTAGCAAATTGTGAACATAATGTTACAGAAATTTATTGACTGTTTTTATTTTTTATTGAAATTTGATAAGTTTTAGAATTTGGTTTCTTAAAAAAACGGGAAAGTGCATAAGTGGCATAATTTTGATTTTTTAACACCATTTTGCTGTCTATTAACGTAAACATTTATCAATAACAGTTGTAATTGTCGCATCTTTGATCAACAAAAGTGATCGGTACTGCATAATTCTGACACAACCTCAATATGAATTTCGGTTTGAATAATATTCAAGTAACCAAAGACAAAAGCGCATTAACAAATGGCACAATTTTACATCTTCTATTTATATCAATCCACTGTTCACACAAAATCTAAGTCTGACAATGATTAAATTGCAGTTAGACGTATGTAAATCATCGTGTAGTCAAACATTTTTGCAAGCTTTAGAACCAAATGTGTCAATATCAATATGTTGCTTAAACAAGAATAAAATGTTTTAAATTGGTTAACAATTAGGGAGTGGGCAACTAAGGTGATGCGGGAGGAGCGAAATATCACGAATATTAACAAACCAGTAGTGAGACGGGTACCTAGGAATGCAAGACAATTTTGCTTGGTTATAAGACTGATTAGAAGATACAGTAAAAAACATTTTTTTATAAATAAATTCCGTACACAGGTACATGTCAAATCCCATTACTCACCGATACATGTGGTTCATGTATCGTTTTGTATTTTTACTTGCTTCATTAGTACGCAAATAGTGAAAACATTTTTTTTATACAAACTGTCTTTAAAGTTTTTTTATTTAATTCAATGTAAATTCTTAAAACCGCACGGAAATGTGATTTTTAATTGTATAATATTGTCATTCGTTTGACATATGATGCAAAATTGATCATTGAGATATTCACGGAGTTCTGTTATAGTTTTATTTCAGGTCATACAATTATTTTATTTTACCTCGGTTATAACGTTGTCTCTCACATCCATAAACTCTTGTGAATCCATGTTTAAAAGGTTATCGTTCCAAAGCGTAACAAGTGTAACACTTCCCTCAAAGTGATCAGCTTGAATAGAATAAAAAATATACGTTATATAACATACTATGACAAATGGTTAATTCTGGCATAGAAAACATAAAAAAACATATTTAAAGAATTGATTATTGTGCTTTTTTGCAGTTGCATATGGGGCAATTTGTCTCAAATCATTTTCTAACGCGCTGTAAATCACATGAGGTTCAATGGAGTAATAAGCATTATGATAACATCTAACAATTCATCCTTCGTCTGTTAATAGACATATCTCATATTTTATGTTCTTTAGCGATTTTGTTTATTGAATTATCTTCCATATATTTCAATATTTGAGCCGCGTCACGACAAAACCAATAAAGTATGTTTGCGACCACTATGGATCAAGACAAGCCTGCGCATCCGCGCAGTCTGATCAGGTAGAAAAATGATAGCGAACAGCATGGATCCTGATCGGACTGCGATCAGTTCATGCTTTAAAATAACTAATAATAAAAATTCATTATTAGATAATACGTAAATTGATACCTTCATTCATTCCATCACCAGACGAAATTTCTATTTCATAATCTGTGATATAAATGAAAAAAAAAACATGTTACACCGTAAAAAGTATTTTACAAAATCGAGTCTCTAAAAATCATTAAAATACATACGTTACTAAATAATCAGTTTCCATATATTTATTACTATAAATATTCATAATCACTGATCATTTTATATTGTCATTCATTAATATTGTATGATTTAAGTGTTTAATTATTTCATTTCTTTGTCTTTACCAAATACAGAGCTTAGTAAACAATAGTAAATACCGTCTTTCATTATTGTAACCCATTCGAATAAAAGCATATCATTCAATCCGTTTTCAAGATCATGCACGTCAAAAACACCTTCCACTTCTTTAAAAATTCCATTGAATTCAATAATTACTTTGTCGTCCTCTATTGAGTGTCTGAAGAAAGTAGGATGCCGTGTCATTATTTATTGAACTTAGCAAAAAGTATCAACTAATTGATTCTGATTATCTAAAATATCTTACAATAAAACATGATTTATTAACAAACGTTTCTTTGTTTCGATATTGAAGTAAGTGCCATGCAGGAATTACCGTATTTTATTTGTAAAAAGCTATTTCACAAATAACATTATATGAACGTAATTCGTAATATACTGTTATAAATGATTTGATTGAGGAGTCGTGTTAAATTGAACATTATTGAAGATTTAACGTGTTTACTAGTTTATTTATGTAAGTGTAGTTTTATGTACTTTTTAATTTAATTTACATCAAGTGAAGGAAATATAATAATCAATGTTTTCGTACGTAAATTGAACAATTTCAGTCTCATGTAAGTACTCTGTGAAAGCTTCGTGAACCTGAAATATAAAGTATCAGTCTTGGCACATTAAGTAAGAACCTGCTGGCGTAATAAATGTTGAATTTTATAGATTATTAAACATTATTTATATTATTATTATTACAGGTTTAAGTGAAACTTTCATTTTAATGTAATGAGAAAGCCTTTTCTTACTTTCAAGTGAAAACAGAATTTATAAACTTATTTTCAGATATATCTTAAATATATTTGTTACATAATTACGCAACGATGCTTTCATATATAAAGCTTTTTTGAAAATTTACGATTATTTATTATTAAAAGTTAATTTCAAAAGCAATAAAACTTATTTATGCCATTACTTAAATGTGTTATCCTTAAACTTATATTCTTAACAAACTTAAGCTAGCTCATCAGTTCCTGACTAACTAGTACTTATGTCTTACGAAATTAACACAACAGGGTAAAATTGATCCGCTGATCCTTAGTATCAATGGCAGACATTTAACCACTTAAAGACGTTTTCCAGGCATATAGGCAAAGTTAAAAATTTTCAAAAGAATTTCTTTAAACTTGGCATAATATTAAAATATGATGACAAAAATATTTTAAACAGGAAAAACATTGGGGTCACCGTTCTAATTTTCGAGTTATTTGCCCTTGAATTGGACTTTTCGTTAAATTCAATGTCAGAAAATTTAATTTACAATGAAGCGAAACAATACAATTTTGTCATCTTATTTTCATGAAGCTTTCTTTCGTCTTTGTCAATATGCTAAATTTTAAGAACAAATTTAGAGTGGGTAGGTTTTTTCCCCATTTCTCATAACACGGCATTTTTTCTTAAAAATTGGCCTTTTTTCAAGAATTTAAAGTACCTTTATTTTCCATTGGGAAAAAATTAACAGGAACGATGTAAGGAATTGCATGTAATTGTGTGTTGTATTCAACAATAAAAAGAAGAAATATCCAAAAGTAGTAAAATTCATTATCATATGTATAAGTGATCTGCTCTTGAAATGACTTCAAATTAGTAAAAACAAAGTCTTATTCAGGGGCAGATAATTCAAAAAACGAGATCGATGACCCCAATTTTGTCACTTAAAATGTTTCTGTTATCATATTCTAACAACATGCCAAGTTTCAGAAAATTCTATAAAAACAGTTTTCATTTTTGACTACTTCATCTATCATGGCTTTACAATAAGGCCGATTATTTTGGAATGTTTCAGGTCTCAAAAATTTTACCTGTTGTCCTATAGAGAGAGCTAAATTATTTGAATAAGAACTTGAACGGTCCAAAAGTGCGTTGTCCCAAATTTCGGTGGCCAATTTCGCAGTTCCGTTGAAGAAATAGTCTTAAAATAAAATGTAAATGTTTTAAACATAATGCAGTTGAAGCCGACAAATCTAAAGTAAATAATTCTAAATCAGTTATGAAAAGCTAATACTATTGCTTTGATCCGTACATTTGAATAGTTAAATTTCAACTCATGGTCATATGTTATTCTATTTCTTGTAAAAAGACCCTGCAGGGTTATGAAGTTGAATGTACAATGTATTCTTATTAACAATAAGTCCGAGCCAATCCACATGTAAAACATACAAATAAGTCTTAAAACAAGTCATTTAATGTCATTTTTATGGTAGTAAAATATCTTTTAATTACTTACATTTACCATCATTTTCTGCGGAAGAACCTTAAATACAAAATTCGTAATATTACCTGAATATTCGGTTATAATTAAAGCATATAATAAAATTTCGGTTTGTAGAAAATGTCTCTTTTAAAAGTCCTTCTACATAAAGAAAAAGGTATTATACATTGAATGAATTAAATAATACTTTTACGCATCAGCATTTATCTGCCTGAAGGATTTTACCAGTCGTTTGATATTAAATGAAACTTTGATTTAAATACAGATAATTTAACAAACAAAATCTGCTTAAATGAATACCTTCCCCAAACTCTGCTGTCACTTCAGGACTGCAAGCTGTATAAAACAAAAAAAAATAGTCACATTATATAATTATCTACTGATTAATTTTGTATGTGGATCATCGTAATTTTATAAGAAGGGGATAATTTGATGTATGTGAATTCAAGACTTACGAACATAAAGAATATAAAAAATAGATATGTTTTGTTCATCGACGAACAATTGGACAACGCATCAAACATCTTACTATAAGAGAAAAGAGCGTACTGTATGTTTTGTGCATTAATGTAATTGTTAAAAAATAGATATCGAAAATATACCGATAGGATTGATCCGTTCAGATATATATTGAGATGTCGGCATATTAAGAAAATCAGTGCAAAGTTTAATTACAAATACACATTCAGTTACCGCACGAAACAGGCATTCAATCACTGAAAGGATATAAACATGAGGCAGGACACATTCTTACTTTCGACAGTGGCGACTTCGACAGTGTCCAATGACTCTAAAAGATCTTTCGCTACCGGATTGATATCCATGCCAGGTGGTATGTCTAGAGCCATCAGGTAATTTGCAAATACCACACCACTTAAAGGTCAAAAGAAATTGTTATATCGATAAAAAGAACAAATGTTTGAATTCTTAAACAATGAACAAATAACGTGAATAAAATTAATCAAATATCAGCAGAACTTCAAGCCGAAGACTTTTTTTATTTATCTGTTAATCCTGTGTGTATTTGGTTTTTGTTTGCTTGCTTTTTTTGCTTTTTTCGTTTTTTATTGTGAGTGTTTTTCTTTTTATATACAAAATTAGTTGGAACATATTTCTATTTAGCCAATTTACAAGCATTTATCATTTTGCATCACAATATATATGGATTGAAAAACAAGCATAACACTTATATTAATTCCATTCCATGATGGTTTACAGAATTAAATGACTGTATACCGTTAGCTACAAAGTATCATTGAATCAAATAACCCATTTGAGACCAGTCTGACGCATGAAGTTACCCGTATATTTAAATATTACAAATATTACAATGCAACTTTTCCATATGGATATATTTTTATATAAAACAATACGGAATAAGACAAACCTATCTTCAAATAATGCCAGTACGACAAACCCACTGAATTCTACGTTATCTAAAGATGGGTCGTTACCTTTTGATACAATCTATCAAGGAAAATAAAAAATAAAATAATACATTAAATAAATATTTAATAGATATAAATTTTCATGAATATTATGATGGAATAACTGTTTAAAACCTGAAATTTGGACAAGTCAAAGTGATTCGCAACCGTCCATTCGTTTTCTTTATTCTAAATATTATCACCAGCGCCAAAATAAGTACATAGATTTTTGTCAAAAACTCTCATCTGTAAAACACGACTTATGAAGCCGAACTATATATTTCAAATTCCAACTATCAATTTTGTTAAAAGTCACGTAAAGCCTGAGAAACGAATAAATTGTAACCACACGTTTAAAATGGTTCAAGTGAGTGTAAGATGCTTACTTATTGTAAAAAGTAACGCTAAGTTTGAAAACAATGTGTCATTAACTACAAAGTAATATTTTACTTCCATACAAAATATTACATCTTTATAAATGCACTTATTGCCAAAAAGAAGAAGATGGTTCAGTAAATTTGCTTAGAAATAGCTTTTTGGAAACAATAAAAATTGATTCAAAACAAATAGCTTTCGACAAATAAAATCAGCAGCATTTTGGAAGCATAATGGATCTTTAGAAGAAGACCGTTGGGGCAAGTGAATGATATCTAATAAATATCTTTTAATAAAAATGCATTTTATATATGGAAATGATAAAAATGTGTAAAGTTTGCGTTTTACCTCAATATTTAGATTTGCTATGAAATTATTGAATTCATCGGAGTTTTTATCACTAAACGCTGGTTTCCAAATTACATCCGTTGTCCAAAAAGTAAGATTGCCACAAAGAAGAACAGACTCTGTAAAAACATATAATACTTAATTACAAATGATCTTAAAATGCAATAAAAGCTAAGCATTTGAGGGAAATAAACTAAATATACTGCATGCATTTAGCAAGATCTTAAAAGAGAAAATAAATGGATCTAATTGTTGTACATTGTCTGAGGCGCTTACAGAAATTATGATCACAAAGTAGAAAAATATCGATTTTTCCCCGATTATTACATTTTTCATTCATGATCGTGAAAAGAAGAATTACACGTCTTAAGGTGCCTTTCGGCAGGTGAGAAGTGAAGAATTTTAGCATTTAACCATTCAAGCGCCTTATCCGGTATCTAAAATAACTATATTGCTTTTAGTGTGCTGCTCAAACACATGTTTTCAGTCTCACTCAAAATAAATGTGCGACTCATAAATCGTCTTTTCAGTTCCATTTACGAGGGGTGTTCAAATATAAATGCAACTGAGTGTTTAACAAACAGTGCCAAATTATCTTAATCCTTCAAAATACTCACAACAATGTGATATACAAAAATTTAGCATTTTGATTTAATTTTTGAATAAGCTTTCATAATCTTTTCGAGGTTTACTGTTTAGACACGGGAATATAGCCAAACCGAGATTTTTACACGTTCGAAATTTTCTTCCAGTAGGGTGTTTTTGAGTCTGGGAAATAGGAAAAAAGTCACAAGGGGCAAGATTTGGCGAATAAGGAGGTAGAGGAAGCTCGACAACCTTTTCCTGTTTCAGATATTCCCGTACAATGGCCGATTTGTAAAACGAAGCATTGTCACGCAACAACCTGACACCACAGAGACGAGTTGCTGGCCGACGGTTTTTGAAATATTTCTTTAATTTATGAAGGACATTGCCTTTGTGAAATGTGGCACTTACAAATTTACCCCTCGTATCAATAAATAGAATAATTATTAAACTTAAGGTAATGATGGCAGCAGTTTTCGTAGAGGAAAGTAGGCACCAATCCCATCAATGTTACATTTTTTGCATTTTTTTTATGAACGTCTTTTTATATTAAATATTTTGAAATGGTTATTTCTTTTTCGAAGAATGTAGTAACGGTACAACGTATTTGTTAGTTATTTTAACTTATAATTCATTGTATTTCAAGTTCATGTTTGTAAATATTTACCTGTCGGATTGTTACCATCATTTCCTGAAAGTGAATTGTAATACAATATGTTTTAAATATTGTCTGTATAACTTTCTACAACATATTTGAACGTTCATGTACATTTAAGTGAATAAGTCTTCAAATGGCACATTTCCAAAAAGTTATCAATTATTGATAAAAACGATAGAAATGTATCATTTGGATATTCTTTTTGAAGTAATAGATTGATTTAGAATTAGCATTTATATGAGCGCGCCATGACAAAACCAACGTAATGCGTTTGCGACCAGCATGGGTCCAGACCAACCTGCGCATCCGTGCAGTCTGGTCAGGATCAATGCTGTTCGCTTTCAGTTTCCTTTTGCAATTGAACATCATGGATCCTGACCAGACTGCGCGGACGCGCAGGCTAGTCTGGATCTTTGCTGGTTGCGTTACGTTGCTTTTGTCATGGCGCATTCATATGATGTTTAATTATATTTTGTTCTAGAACATTTTATTATCTGCTATATCGTAAATGTATATTTGTAATATTTCATCAATTGTAAGCATTTCAAAACGAGGATACTTTCCAAAATCTTAACTATTCAGACAAAACACACGTGTTTTTATATTAAAATAATTAAAAATTTGTAAAATATAATATAACAGTAATTTTAAGTATGTTATTTTTGTCTTTAATGTTGAAATAAAATACAATAAAACGCTATTTTAAAATGAATCATAACAGTCTGCTGCAGCTTACACTTGTAAGATAAACAGCCTTTCGACTCAAAGTCTTTAAGGGGATCAATTGTTTTACAGAAAATAAAAACACAGTCAAACAAAGTCACGGATCATTATCCTTTTAAGCATCCGTAAATGTGAAGTAAGACAGTAAAAAATTTGGGAACAAAGTGATCCCTCGGAAGCATTAATTACAACAAAATTACAAGAGAATTGCAGACACGGTTTGATTGAGTCTGTACATGAGGGATAATGAATACGTGCAACATCCCTCACGCCCCCTAGCACCGGCTTGAGCGGTACTCAATTCTCGACACTTAATAGTGCTGACATCAATGTAAAACAAAGTAAAGTAAGACAAGTAATACATTTTCCTTAAGAAAAAAAAAGAATTTTCCCAAGGAATAAAAAACCAGATATAAGTAGATATTTGTAATTTTGTAATTTTATTTCTACTTAACATAAGATTGATTCATGTTTTGGTATCCTTACGTTTATTATATTTAGGTTACCTATCTTCAGAGAGCGTTCGTCGCAGTTTTTGTTCAACTGTCATATCTTGAAATCGTGAAAATTGCGTTCACATTTTTGGTTTCCCAACGGGTGGACAAAAGAATGTCTTACCAATTTTATATTCTATTCCCGAAGTTAGTACAATTTCAACCGACACTTTTCACAGTTATCGTAGAAGATTCGTTATGTTGATTTAACCAGGGATACAGATGTTTTTTCTGCTCATAAACGCACTATAACATTTTTTATGAAATATGTTGTTTTTGTAGAAATATATTTCTCATTCCCCAATAATGTCTCCAGTAGATCTGGTGTCGAAACCGAGAAAAAAATTAAAATTACTTCCCACATCACTCTTTTGGAAAACAGTGGCAGGATCAAGGGAAAATTACATTACAATTAACATAATCGACACCTACTGAATTGTCAATGCTTTTTAGAGGCGTATATGTTTGGTATTGGCATGTAATCATATAAAAAATATGGAACTATTGTGTATGAACGTGGCAGGAATGACTGCATCTAACACATATATACATTTGTGTTTTACCTGGCATATATTAATTAACAGGGTAATCTATGCTACCGCTACTGACTGGGCTTCCTTCAATGGCTTCAATGATTATTTTAAATATATTCAATCATATGGAGAAATGGAGAAACCCCGCCTAGTTACTACATTTCGAAGATTACAAACTCTGACCAATGGAAATTAGTGTCGTATAATAGTGTAAAACTATGAATGATTATGCAAACGGTATAATATTTTAAACATTTAACCGATGATGCACCATGAGCAGGCACTTGTTTCGTTCACGATAGTTCCTGTTCACATTGCATAAAGGTAATAGAAAAAGTCGTCCTAATACTTTTTGGGCGCCCGTAAACATTAAAGTTTAAATGGTCAATTTAAATCGTATTCTATTTCCTAAATCAAATTCTGTGTATTTCGTCAAGCTGAAAAAGTATCATACTGTAGTTACCTTCTGTCCATACTCTAACAGCAATAAAGTATCCACTGTACTCCAAGTCTTCTTGAAGCTGTGTCTCATCTATATCACCCATTTCGGTTGTGTTCAATTTGACTTCTCCTTTAACGATATTTGGATCGTTATTCCCATTAGCGTCCGACCCTGGACTGCATTTTGTAAAGACACGCGTATAGGATTGTTAAAGGTTTGAATGACAAGTAGAAAGGAAACATACAAAATGTTACTGAACCAAAAAAAAAACTTTCGAAATCCTTGTTACACACATGCATGTGTTAATTTTTTGAGCAACAAAGGTATGCTAAAATTGTTCTTATTCACATACAGGCGGGAGTGGTACAAATGAACGATGATTTTTGGAAGAAAATGTCAACTTATTTTAATCTAATTCGATAATAAATGTTCTCTAAGTCGGCTTGAACCCATAAAAATATAAGTTATATATATACTCTTACTTCCTTCAAAACTTAAAATAAATTATAAAGCAAAAATATACAATTAAACATTATGAATTAGTGGAATATCTCCTTGTTCTTTCAATCATTTACATAGCAAACCTTCCAAATGAATAAAGTTTTTTGAGCATGATATTGACAGCATTTAACACACTTTTAAATTCCTTCCAATTGTCATTTTCTTCCAAATGAGGCGAGTTTACGTGTCAGGCATTATATATTTATTTCTTTAATCTGCTTAACAAATAATCATAGGATATATCTCTACCTATCAATTTTAGTTCTTGCTTACGATAGATGCAACATACGTTATTCCCTCGTGAAAAAAATTACCTATAACATAAAGAGAATATAATATGCTTGTAAGTAACATATGCTCGTATCATTTTTGTTACATACAACAACGGCAAATGAAAAAAACAAACTTTTTCTATTTTTTTTTAATTTTGTGAATTTAATATGAAACTAAATATATAGGTAGATTTATTTTACAACATGTATCTAAACAAGAAACCAAATGAGTTACGTACAAGAACCAGAAGTCGTAGAATAATTCCTCTGGGAAGTTGGTTACTGATATAACCTGTAATATGCAGAAAAGATTACAAGTATTTTAGTATGACTTCAATAATAAGAATCCCTCTGCATTAAAATACTTTCTAAACAGTTTAAGGCAGAGAAATATTAATAGTATTAGAACATGATTTATAAATACTAGATAAGATATTTTATTCATTTCAAAACCTGAAGGCATTCAAAACTTAAGCGGGTGACTATACCTCAGATATAAAAGTTGTTTTCAATGTCTCAAATTCCATAGTGCTAGAGTCATCAAGAGCGGCACTCCAAGTATCGTCTGGAAATTGGACTTCGATATAACTATATTGTGCTGTCAAGTAGAAATATGTATCTTTTTAATATACATTCGGTCCCTATATCTTATCATGTCAAATGTAAATGTATAAAAGTTATTACTTATTCTTAAATCAAAGCACTTGTAATTAAAGATTAAAACTGTTGCGAGAAATATGTTTAACAGTTTTTGTATAAAGTCATTTCAATTGCATCTCTGTGGATATATTGGAAAATATCCGTACCTGTTCCTCCTCCGTCATCGTTGTTATAGGAATCTGTAAGATATTTTATATTTGATAACACTCGTAATGCATTAGAACCTGTTATTAAACGTCCTGTTTTAAAGTATAGTTTAATAATGTATATATAATTTAAACCAACATATTGAAAAACCGTTAACTTAAAAATAATGCTATGATCATAGTTAAAAAAACACACAAAACATTTCGTAAACATTTGGGTAAGATAATCTTGTTTTACTATTAACTATTAATTCATAGGCAGGATCGCTTATAATTTGAAACCCACATTATTGAATATTTTACATATTTGAAAGTAAGAAAATTAAATGTTTGAACTTACCGTCCGTCCAAACTCTTGCATCTACAAAATTTGGGCTGTCTATCAAGTCCGTTTGTACCGCTGACTCATCAATACCCTCAGTATCGGTTGTATCTACTTTCAGTTCTCCTTTTACGGTGTCTCCATTAATGTCAGTTCCTTGACTGCAATTTATAACATAGTTGTAGTAGGTTTATTTCCTTTTTGAAACCATATTAGTAGAATAACAATAAACTTACTATAGTTGTTTAGAAATGAAAATCTAGATATTCTAAAAGTTATGTAAAATTAAGTATAAGTAGGAAAATAACAAAAGACTATCTGAAAGAGAAATGCGAGTTTACTTTATTTGCGAGCGATCAGACCTGTTCTTTATAATCAAAAAACATTACGCACATTCAACTTGCTACTTGTTAACAATGTTAACTATATCATCGAAAATACGGCTACGATAAAGATTACTCAACTCATTGCCTCATTGTAAAAGAAATGCTTAAGCTTATATCTTGGTTTAATTTTCTTAATATCTAGTCAACATAATTTTTGGTGGTTTTAAAAGTTCAAGGATAATAGAAAAAATATGAAAATTTTGTCCTGTCCGTCCTTGTATATGACCAAATAATTACATGTACATCTGTATTGTAAATATAACTGAATTACCTGAATTATTTGATATAAAAAATCGGTTTTTCATATTTACCTTTTTTATATTGATTGTTAGCAATATACCATGTAAACCTTAGAATTTAAATATTTGTTGCTACATTACGATATTTAAAGACATTCGCTGGACAAAATATTAACAAATATCACGATGATTGAAACAAAAATCCTCAAAATATGTTTCGAAGGATTTAAATTGTTGCAAAACATCACAGCTAAAAGATAGGTACAACAGAGTTACAATCTTACTTTCCTCCCTTTTTTATTGAGCTACAAGTATGTCAACAAATGTCGAATTGAAAAGTTTGCATGTACATTATATATAATTTTAAATCAGAATTAGTTCCCTTGTAACGTTAATCGGTCAATCATTTTTATGATAGGCAATATGAATTTTAGAATACAGAATACATAGGTGTAAAAGAAAGTAGCAATTCACGTTTTCTTGCAAATAGAATGTTTTTTTTCCTTTTGCAAAAACTAGTATAGAAAAGAACATTACTTTTTGTAACTTGTACGCTTTTTATCATTATATCACAATATGAACGAGCGTACGTGTATCTAATAAAAAAATTTGAGAGAAAAAAAGAAAATAAATTTTATAAAAAAGAACTTGAACTCACTAAAACCAAACGTCGTAGAACTTTGCTTTTGGAATGCTTGTTGCCGATTCTACCTGTAAATTGTAGAAACCACCGAAACATTTTAAAGTACTTTTTTCAATAACAAAGATACGTTTAAGATAACAAATTTAAAAGCAAAATTGCAGATTTATTCACTTTATGCGTAATCTATTTTAGTTTGATTGCAATGAAAGGTATTACATATAGAAACACTCATAAATACGTTCCTGAAAACAAACATCCAGTACAAAGCAGTGAGCGTAAAGTGAAACGCTCAATGAGACGGGATTTGGAACCACGCGGCAAGGAATCCTTTTTGTAACTAGTCCGACAGGGATAATCACTTGGCTATGCCGCCAATATTTTTTTTGAATTCAAGTTAAGACATTTCTAAAAAATAACGATGTTTCTTATATAATCTTAAAAATATGGCAAATCCAAGATATTGTTTCATTGTAAAAGAAAAGCTAAATTAATTGTGTATATTAAGTGTGACCGTACGTTATCAAGAAAAGAATCCTTCAAGGTTTGAAATTCGGTACTGCCGGAGTCATCATAATTCGGGTCCCACGTAACACCAGCGAATTGGACTTCAATATAACTGTATTGCCCTGTAGAACATATATTATTGTTCATAATATTTCACATAAGATTATTTCGATCACTTAGCTTTTATCAATATGTACTAAATTCAGGTTATTAACGGTTTAAAATTAATTAAAATTAATTATTATATTTGATTATGACTATAATTCAAAACAGTAAACTATCTTATCGTTTGAAATGCAAATGTGTTGAAATGTATATAATATCTATTTTACTTGCCTCCATGTGGACCAGTATCTGTTTCCATTGACCGGCTCACTTGACCTAGAAAAGATAAAAATGTACCATAAAAATGCACCACCCATTTTCTTTAAGTATACTGTGCTCCTCTTGGTCAAAGGTTATTAACGCTTTGAAAACAAGGAAGAAACAAACAATGATCTTAAAATACAAAAAAGTCATCATTTGTAACATGTAGGTATTTCACAAGTGAACAATAAAATATTTAATGAAAATCAAATTGTAGCTCATAAGAAGGCCATTTTGAAAACAATATGTCATCATTTAAATCGCGATATCTGGTGTTACACTCTATTTTTTCATGTTTAAAAAAAAATTACTAGATAACATATTGCTCCATTTAAAAGATTTAAAACTTAGCAACTGAAAAATACTTTTTAATAAACAATAAAATTTATAAAATGATGATTGTTTCAGACGTATGTACACATTTTAATTGACTATATAGTGTGGCTTTTTGCAGGAATATGTTAAATATTATTCTGTTTTGCGTAAAAATCAACTTATGCACGAAAAACGTTGTATAGGTGTATGACTTAAACATGTCAATGTTGACCAATTTAATTCTAGTCACAAGTTCACAACGACATATGCCATTACCTTGAAATATTAATAAATGATGACGCGAAATTGGTGATGTTAAGTACATGAAATAATATTTGTAAAAAAAGATGCTCCCCCATATGGCTAATTCCGGAGACGAGGGTATACACACATTGTAAAATAACATACATGTACGAGTCAGTGACAGAGTGTCAGAACAATTCTATACATAATGCTATTTTATTTTTACTTACTTATAGCCAGCAGAAAGATGAGGCCGATGGTCCCATCCATCATTGTTGACATATGAAGGTATTTCTTGAATACCTGAAAAGAAAAATAATCAAAGCAATAAAGAAAACAATATTATATTCGTGTGCATATTTTTTGCATATCAGACTGGTGTGCTTTACGCATCTGGCTATGGTTGGGGTGCCAGATGAGTCGCTTGCTATACAATGGCAGCTTAGAATAGTTATGAATGAAGTTGAAATTTCATACGCTGTTGTAAAGAAAATAATTACGGGTGCAATGACATAAATTTCCATGGTCATTTTTTATAATGGTGAAAATTTTAATATACTGGCATATAATAGAATATGCAAGAAAAATATTAGACATATGTTTGCGGTTCGGATCGGAAATATCTGTAACTCGGGAACCGATCCATTTGCCCGTCCCCTCGAGACCGAAATTCCTATCTGATCCGCAACATATGACATATATTATTCTTGTACACTACATTTTTCCCGATTTTTCATTGAATTACTCCATAAGTATATGGTGCATAAGACCATTAAGAACGGACGTTTACTGTTTTGAATTAGATGTAACGATTTTTTTCTATGGGCATATTTAAGTCAGACCGACTTGTGATTATTTTGTTTGTGCACCGTTCTTGTTGACATGCGTGCTTTCCCTTGTTATCTATTTACACTTTATAACCTTAAGCCTTTCCGAATTATGTTATGCGGCTGAATTGTTTTAAATTATTTTCAATGGCTCACCTGTCAATTATTATACATCATGCTTTTTATAGTAGCATTATTAAAAATTCCTTATTTACTAACTTATCGTGAATAAGTGCTTTGCATTATATGCAAGTTGCTGACGGGATAAACGATATAATAAATGTTGCTGATATTGATATTAACTTCAGATGGCGCCGCAAAACATGCATTTTCAAATGCGACGCTACATTCGGTAATGTTCTGTCTTTTTTGTACAATGAGTCAATCCGAGCGCACGTGTGGTATATTTTTATATTAAACGGAACATGCCTGTACATAAATAATAGCAAATAACATACAAACGGAATATTTATTATATATTGTTTGATTTTATCAACCACAGATTGTACAGTCTGTGCACACAGCATTATAAATCTTCAATAAATTATCGGTAAAGAGCGGTTACTTTAAAATAATTAAAATAATTACACTGAACCATTGAACTTTTATTACTGATTTATTTATTTATTTATTTATTTATTTATTTATTTATTTATCCATTCATTCATTCATTCATTCAGTCAGTCAGTCAGTCAGTAAGTCAGCTAGTTTGTTCGTTCGTTCGTTCTTTCACTCGTTCATTCATTCATTCATTCATTCATTCATTCTATTTATTGGCTCCACCATCTTGTCTGCATGCAAGCAAAAAAATCGACTATTTCCATTTAATATATGCACAAATGAAAAATTACTGCCTGGATCGAACCACAAACCTCTCTCATATTAGGCAAATTCATAACCAGCTGTGCGTTTGCCGATATGTATGGATTTGGTATAATTTTAACTATTGTGACTTTTCAAAACATTAGTTTATATTTTCAATATTTATTCTCGTGAATTTTACGAAGTGGAATCGAGCTATAATGTATTCATAATTGACAGATCAATAAAATACTAGTTTTTGATAGACAATTTTTATAAATGTTCGATAAATTTCATGAGATGTCCGATGTAAGATGTAATAAATTCAATTTGTTTCTACGAAATAATATTAATACTGACCATAATAGCGCAATAGGGTAAACTGCAGGTTAAAACTGCAGGTTATCCTACATATTGTAAGATCGAGACTGCGTATGTTTTTTTCTTATTTGTAACCATTTTCAACATTACTGAAGCTATGATTTTTTATGTGATTCTTTTTTTAAATATGCTTTTCATTTATGTTGGTTAAGACTATACTCTTTTTTATATAATATATTTTAAGAATTAATATTTAAAATTAAATCAGATTAACCTTTCTTCAGTGCCGTAAAATACAACACTAAACGAGACAAATCAGTGTTTCTAAGTTGTTTTACATCCGTGTAGACACTTTTGCAAGCATTTTGTCATTTTCATTACAACATAAGTCAAACATAGAGAAAATGTCTAAAAACAATGGCAATAGTATGGATCGAACCAAAGACCTCTCATATATGAGATAATCACCTAGCCGACTGTGCTAATGGGGATGTGTACATTACGCTAGAGTGACTTTTCCAAACAACAGTTTTATACTGATATTAATTCTCGTAAACTATACGGACAGAACCGAGGAGGGATCGAATATTTAAATTAGTGCTATAATGTATTCATAATTTAAAATATTATATTGAATTGAAATATTCATAATTGACAGGTCAATAAAATCAGACTGTACCTTAAACCGATTGTCAAGTTCAACCTACCATAACATGTGTACATAGTATAATTACATTTTAATGAGTGTCAGTACGTAAATAGAAAAGCTATAGAAAAAAAAAAATTGTTGGAGCGTTTGGGCCAAAAATTAGTTCAAAACGGTCGTGTATAGAATAGGTTATTTCAATTGTAATTTGATAAAAGAATATGGAAACAATTCAAAATAACTGCCGCTAATTGCCTCATGTAATTAACAGGGTTGAAACATCGGGAATTGTAAAGAAAATCACACAACTATTTGCTGTAGTGAAAGAAATATAATAAAATCTTAGGTTAAGGATAATTTATGTTGCCTTATTTTATTTTCATTAAACTATTATTATAGTAAAGTATACTTTTAAAATAAATGCACGTAATATTTTTATGCTATAAAAACCTTAATATCATCCCATAAGTGTTAACTCTTCTCAACCATGTATTTATCAGATCTTAAACATTGATTTGTTCCAAACTTCTAAAAAGATAAGAAGCAACCATATTTCCATTCCTTCGTATTTCAAAGATATTTTTAAGAGACTAAGATAAATAAAATTAAACTATATGAACAGAAAAATACATGGAGTACAGGTCACAATATAAGTAATAAGTATAAGATATTAAATAAAAGTAAGACATACTGACCATAGAAAGTTATTATCAATAATGATTAAAACCTCAATTTATTGATAAAACGTATAACATTTATTTATATTATGTTTTTAAAACTATGTTGATAAATATTATAGCGGCAGTTTGCGGCTTCACTATAGTGTAAATCAAATACTTCAGGTAACATTTCCTGCCACAGCTTTTGAAGGGTTTGCGACCAGCATGGATCAAGACCAGCGTGCGCATCCGTGCAGTCTGATCAGGTTCCATGCTGTTCGCTATCAGTTTCTCTACTTGTAATAGGGTTTGTAAGCGAACAGCATGGATCATGATCAGACTGTGCGGATGCGCAGGCTGGTCTGGATCCATGCTGGTCGCAAACGCACTATGTTGGTTTTGTCGTGACGTGGCTCAAATAATTTAAAGTTCAAAGTTCTTTATCAGACATATAGTAAGCCCTTAATTTATTAAATCCTCATTCAGCTTAGTGTAATGTTAACAATTCTTTACCAGCACCTTTCTTGCATAAAGGAATATGTCTGATTTCGGTACTATCACGTTTTGTTAGTTGTTTTCCCTCCTTCATACTATTAACATGGGAAATTGACGGGGAGAAATTTTTACATGACACCCTGAGCCGTGCGTATTCAAAATCTATTCACATATCTATTTCAATATATGAATATCTATAGAATTCCATAATTATTTCTTAACGTGATCATAAATTAAACAGATTTATCGTTTAAAATCACCATTAGATATTTCTTATTGATTTTACGACTCAAGCAAGATACCGAAATCGATTGCTTTGTTGATTTATATTTAGTTCTACCTTAAATTTGAATACCATGTTTATTTAATCAAGTGTTGTTTGAAAAAGCCACACAACGTTAATTTGAGTATTAAATTAACTTAGTAAGTTTTTTTTTTCTTTATGAATTTACATCATGAAGTTAGTGTACATTACTAGGTACAATACTGAAGTAATTGTACACTACTGGGTACAATACTGAATTAGACGAGTACACAGCTGCCAAATGAAGATTGGACGATGTCGATTTTGCAAATGTGTATGAGGCCGGTAAAATCAGTATTGTTCTTAGAATTATATATTGAACGTTTTTTACACAAAGCATTTTTTCATGTAAACAGAGTTTTTTTTTTCTTCCATAACAGAAAATATTTGATACTCTGAAATGAAAACGAGGCTAAATGGAGTATGATGTGCAATATATATTTAGACTCAAAAATTGAAAAGGGGGCTAAATGGAGTATAATGTGCAATATATATTTGGACTTGAGGCTTTATGTGGTACGATATGCATTTGATATGGATTTGTTTTGGATTCTTGACATGGAAACGATGCTAATTTGATAAGTTTGAATCCGAACGCTATTGGTCCATTGGTTATATTAAACAAACTGTGAAAATAAATAGTTTTCTTTTTCATTTCAAATCTTATCGTGTTTAATACAGCTTCTGATATCCTTCTTTTCAGCTCAACTTGCAAAGTTTCAAAGTTCCAAAAGAAATGCACTTGCTAGTATAAAAGGATATTACAAATGTTGAATGACGTGACGTCACACTTTTATATTTAAATACATATCTTGATGCAAACAATACACATGCACATTCAAGCATTTCTTCCAAAATTCACACGAATAAGAGGTATGACGTCGATATAGTGACATATTGGCACTCAATGATAATTTCAAAGATTAAATAACAATCTTCTTTCTTTTTTTTCTTTTTGCTCTGTTTTTTTTGCTTTAAAATAAGTATTGACATACCGTTAAATACTGCATTATAGCTTTGTAAGTGTCCAATTAAAGATATACAACAGCGATTCAAGTTACTATACAATTATCCAAATAAGACCCCTTATATAGATCTATATATGGAAACCTTGTGTAATTATCTTATTGTATGACTGAAAGAAAATGTTTAATGAACTTGAATTTCTAACTATCAAAGGCCTGGTGAGATTTTCTACTTTAATTGTATGTCAGGATGGTCCAAAAAAAACATATATAAGTCCTATTTATA